AATTACAAGTTATTTAATTTCTAGTGATTAAATTTTTCTTTGAATTGATCTAAGTTCACTTGACAGAAAATTGGATTAGAAAAAAAATTTATAATAATTGAACGTTAACAAATATAAAAATCCATAAAACACGATGGGACACTCTGTATATACTAATCTCCTCCCCCTGCCGTCCGTAGTTTTATCCTATGAATAATTTTGGTCTGTTTCTATATGCCAAAGATAATATTTCGTTCGTAAAATCAATTCCGGAAAATGATGCAAAAGATACGAAATGTGAAAAAAAAATATACATATTGCAATAGTCATCCGGTACACACACATACACACACACACACACAAACAAACCGATACCGTACATGAAACGATTCGTCCGTTCTGCAGTGTAATTCTACTATGTAAAGACAGACATACTTCGCATGAAGAGTGGGCCACTGTTATAGCTGAGAAGTTGGGCAGGTAGGATATAGAGGGAATTTAATTTATGTATGTACGCAATAATAAATCATTGCTAACGAAAAACGGTTTGAAGCAAAGTTTCTTTTATGCATTTACATACATTTTCTTCGTTTTTTTCAATTACGTATTATGAAAACCGCTTAGAAGGTAATAAAAAAAAATTAAAAAATAAACATCATTATAAAATTAATAAATTCCTCGCTACGCTCTAAATCTAAAAAAAACGTGGACAACTATACAAATAGGGTCACCTAAGGAAGGTATAAGATGCTACAGTTTTAGTGAACTCGGGATCCCGAGCTCCTACTTGTGGAAAGCTCAAGTCAGTGATTACAGTAGGCATATGGTATTATTTCTGTAAGGTTGTAAAATTTATTTTATAATAGACGATACCATTCTCCGTGTGAGAAGAAACCAGCATACTCACATAATATGTTACTCAAAGATCAGTGTAATACAGTATTGCCTTGTTTGCCTGAATATTTTTAAACTACTTAGGCTGTCGTAAAAGGCGACAAATAGGGTGGCGTCAGGTCGAGAGCAGGTGTAAAATTCTGTCAAACAGTATAAGAAATTTTAAATAAGCCTTTGGATTATCTCATCTTGGATATACCCGGGGACAGCAATTGAAAGGAACATGGTACATATAGTAACATGGCGCATAAGGTTTACAGATGATATAGCTTTGATGAAAGAATAAGTGGGAGTAAAACATAGAATAAGTTTGGATGAACAGGTAATATATTGTATGGTTTGGAGTGTTGAGCAGTAGACAGAAAAATAGAACAGAAAATGAATGCAGCAAAGATGAAAATACTTAGATGTGTGAGTGGAACGAGAAGAGAAGATTTGAAAAGGGATGATTATATAAGTGTTAGGTTAGGTTAGGTAGTTAGATAGGTTAGATTCCTTAGGCGTAGCTTCAATAGTAGACAAATGAGAGCAAATTTCTATCTTCTCTACTAAAATAACTAAGATGGTTTGGACAAATCACGAGGAGAGAGGGATCTGAAACAGTAAAAATTGTAATGAAAATAAACGTATAGGACGAAAGAAGTGAGACTGAAAAAGAGATAGTTGAATGCAATTAAAGCTGTCTTTATATCAATAAGGACAGCCAGTATATGCGAGGGGAGGGATCTGGTCAATTAAAAGTTTAGAACCAGTGCGGTCAACCCTAAATAGTTGAGATGAAGACTAAGGAAAAGAACTATATAAATGGGGTGCCTATACAAAAACTTGGGATCTAAATTAAAAATTTAAAGTCTGGAAAAATACCGCGAAAATTGTATTGTAAGATCTAGATTTTAACAGATTTCAAATTTTTAAATTCCACACTTATACGATCCAGGTATGAGAAGTCAAATGTTCAAATTCCTAGTTTTTACGCGCTCCCTATATTAATGTATCGATTAATAACTATTGTCGTGTATATTATACTTTGTCACAAGCGCGCCGAATTAATTATGAAATAGTCTGGTCAATAGTCACAGTAGTCATAATCACTACCTATATATTTAGGTATAAGCGGAATGACCGTGTAGTCGCATTATCCTCCATATCTTCCCTCTCTAAATGTTTATTTATATTTATAAACATTTTTTGCTAAAGAAAATGTCTTAATTCTTTCTGTTTTGTCATTTGTGTTGCATATTTCTATAGCGCATATGTTTAAATTAATTTTCGTGTGCTATAAAATTATATCCCTAGCTAATGAAAACCATGATTTTATACTAGAAACTCAAAATACCACTAGTAATACGAGTATATTAGTATATTATAATACAATATGTATATTATTGCGTATTTATTTGTTAACAGTGCTAACACATTATTGAAAGCTCAAATAAATTGTAAAATATTTCCAGTGTTGCCTATACTTGTAACTATATGTGTACACAGGCGATAAATTCTATTCATTGATCATTAACCACCATCACTCCAAAAATATGCAGGTCTGACCTGGACCAAACCCGAACCCTTTGTTTGCCACCATTGTAATATACAGTCAGATGAACTATGCCGCGTCGCGTCAGTGCTTCGCATAAATTTCGTTGGGACTTACCGACGACAACTTAATGTTCGTATACGATCGCCGTCATTACTTGACGAACGATTTTGGCGGCGAAATTGAAGTTTACGCCACGCAGAGGAAAAAAATAAGACAAACTTCGATACCAATAAAAACGGAAAACCCTTTACATAATATTACGCGTCAGCACAAAAACAGAAAATACGCGTTGGTGAGCGTTGCGTTTACGGCCGCCGCGCCGCTAACTACTTCGAAATTACTATCAAATAGAAAACGAGATCGTTGTTGTGAGACGTTTTTTTTTTTTTTTTTCCGTGAACTATGATCGTAAACTGTAACCATGGCCATAATCCGCCGTTACTACCGTAATTACTATTGTTGTCGTTATTTTCTGTGGATAAAGTTATTATAGTGTTATAACGTCTATTTGCGCCTAATGCAGATTAATAGATAAATGTGTTAATTAACATTTTATAAATAATCAGCAAAAATGTTTTTAAATTTCCATAGACATCATATAGTGGAGTACCTACTCCGAGGCCATCATGCGTTAATAATTTATACGTTTAGCTCAAATACGAACAAAATTCCGACTCATTTTGTAATATTGTTCGTTTAAAATCCTCCTGACTAATTCTAATCATTATCCATTGACTTGTTTAATTATTATTGTATTCGTATAACTGATTACCCGGTTCGTCGAATTTTCTTGCCGATTCCTTTCTTCACCGCCAATGCGCGCCGCATACCTATGTATGATAAACACCATAAAAAGAATCGACGTCAGTTCATCACCGGTCGCACGCGCACAGACGCACAGTAACCACTCAAAATTAAAACAGATGCGATTTATTTCAATAATGACTTTTAAACGGACCGTACGCACTCGACCAAAGGAAAACATGGTCCCCGACTACCGACCAATCACAAACGCTCGATCGGAAAATACATAGATGTTAGTTTTTCGTACGTCGTGTTACGCGCTTGTAAATTCCTTGGTCAAAATTTCAAGGAGTATGTAAGGCCTGGGACACCACGCTACGACCGTCACACCGCTAACCACTTCGCCGCTAACCACTTCGCCGCCAAACACCTCGCCGCCGGCCGACTACCTACGACCAACTCGCCGCCGTACCGATTCGTCGCCGGTCGACTCGCCGCGACAGACTTATCACTGTACAGACTACCCTATTCCCTTCTGATTTTTGAATCGAGTATATTTGGACGGTGTGTGCCATCTTCGTGTTTACGGCGAAACGAGAGAAATCGTAAATTCGGCGAACCGGGTATAATAAATTCCACTGTAATTTATTTGTGTAAACCCGAAGCCGGTTTGAAAAATACCGTGGTCTGTGCAGTATATTTTGCAGGGTCGAGGCCATATCGATATGAGCTTTTTTTTTCTACTCACTTTGATGTATACATTTAGATAATACTTTACATACAATATTCCTCTTTGCCCATGACTCTTAATTTATATTTTCCTAAATAATTATGTGAAAATATGCCCTTTGATTGCGACTCGGCGCGGGATTTTATGCGAGTGTGCATAACTTATAACAGAGGCGTACCCAGGAATTTTTGATGGATTCGGGAAGAGGGGGATCCATCATTTTTTAATTTTTTTTGTTCTCTAATAATTATAATTATAGTTACGGTTTACTTACGGTTATGGGGAGGTCCGGATCCGGAATCCCTCCCGTAATTGGGTACTCCTCTGGGCTCTGACCTACACCAATCTCGTGTAAGTATAATACAAAAATACATTCGGCTCAAAACAATCACTGATCGTAGAAATTGTTTGTACGTGTCACGCGAAGGCGATTGACAAAAACGATTTTGAATACCTCAAATCTTTAAGATCCCCAAAAGGTAACTAAGAGTATTACGTGTTGTATCTGCATGAATGGCGTTAGTATTATGGCTGTCTTTTGAGAGGTACGACTTTTAACCTATTAAAATTTTACCAATTATTATAATTTTTTTTTTTTTTTAAAGAGTAAGTATATTTAATTTTACCAATCTATTCAGTTATAGTATTCGGTTATTTATTAACCGTGAAATAAAAAAATATTTCTGTAAAACAAAATAGTTGAATGGGAAAATTCAACACTAGTGCAGAAGAGAATGACAGAGCTCTGCTAGTCTTCCGTTCACACGGGTGGATTATTTTTTTTTTTTTTTACAATCGTTCAAGTTGAAATTTCTATGGAAACCGTAAAAATCGCGTCATTTCGCGTAGGTACTGTTTTCTGATTTATGCGGATAAAACTTTTTTTGGCTCAACAATTTCAGGCAAAAAAACTCCGGGCAATATTGTAATTATTTATGTTTCGTACAGTTACACGAATTATTATTATTTTTACACTGCGTGTTTAATCGGTCAATCGGTAAAAATACAGAATTATTTCGAAATATGGCGCGGATGGGAAAGGGGGTGGGCAGGGAGAGAGATGATGCAATCTAAATGGACAACGCGCGACGAGGTAGTCGTGAGGGTGACGGGGAAGGGGGAACAGTGTGCCTCGATTCGGGTGATGTTCGCAGACACGCACGTTGTTATTTCTGGTGCGTTTGCCGTCCAATGACGTCCGGAAAACGAAAACGATTCACAGTCGCGTACAGTACGGGGGCCAGCAGCCGTGCCGCCGCTATTCTATTCATAAACTACGGGCGCGGGGTCCGCCGTCGGCGTACGGTGTATTATAATAATAATACGCTCAGACGCGGCGGCGGACGACACATATTTTGACGATGTGCGATGGCAATAATCGCGCGCGATAGTGGAACGGGCGGCGCACGCTATACGGCCGCGAGTGTCCGCCACGATCGTCGGCCGTTGTCAAACGGTTACTAGTTTTTATTTTTTTTTTTTTTTTCATCGCGATTCCGCGACAATCGACAACAGAAATCAAAACAATTCGCGCTACGGCGGCGGTGCGTACCCTACTGCCGTGCGAACCGTGAAAACCGCGGGCCCGTTCCGTACGCGCGAGTGTCTGCGTCCGACGCCGTTTCCCGCGGACATTCCGGTCGGAATCGAATATCGTTGACCACGGCGATATTACATTATATTATAATCGTGTGCGGCGGCGGCGGCGACGACGGAAAAATAATAAATCAATAAAGTAACGTCATTAGAATTCGCGCGCGGGGGACCGCCCAGCGTTGGCGGCACTGCGACGGTTTCAGCTGACCCAGAATCGGATCGCCAGCAGTCCTGCGAAAAAATAAAATAATGAAACTGTAACTGTACCTTTTATTGCGGTAAATTAACAATATTATTATATACACCGTAGCCCGATCAGTGTGTATGTCATTCAATAATACCGCAGTGTACACCCGAACTGCACTCCAGTGATGTCGGCTGTTGTGTGTCGTTCTGCTATTATTATTATGTGTATTGCTACCCGTTAACAAGTAAACTAATTTCTACAACAGTCTTGCTTCTCCGGCACCGTCCCTTTATTGCGACCCCTATTGATAATATTATATTTTTATGTTACAGTCGTGTTGTTAAAATATGAGTGTCACGATGGAACAGAACGGTGCTTATGATCCCGGTAAGTCGAGGCCGTGGCTGCATAGTGGAATACAATCATCAGACCTGCCTTTTTTTTTTACCCCCTTATATAGCTCTGACTGGATTACTGGTGTCATTAGAGGGATCACGAGGGGCTATTTCTGCTTCCAAAGAAGACTTGGACTTTCTGTCCACTCTGTTACAAAATAAAGAGCTGCACTCAATTGTTAAACTCCATAAAACCCTTGTAGACAGGGTGCGCGATGATCGACGTTGCTCGCCAGTGCTATCGAGTTCCATGCAAATCTCTCTGGATGTCTTGGAAGTTCTCATGCCCAGGATTTCTCTTAGTGATACATCAAAACAACTTTTTCATCTATTGCAAAAGCCTCACATACAGGTATTTTTACTTCTTGATCAACTATATGATTAAACAATATTGTACAAATTATACATTTCATAAAAAAATGCTTAGGGAATTTTGTGTTCACACGATGCGGTAGCTCAAAAAGACTACCTGCCTCGACTGCCAGACCTTCCCCAAGAGATGGATGATGATGAAGAGACAATCAAGATTGTACAATTGGTTAAAAGCACTGAACCATTGGTACTGATATTTTGTTGACATTCTAAGCATGAAAATGTTTCCTATAAGGCTGTGTAAACAATTGTTTTATTATTTATTTTTAATTTAAAAGCTTATTTTTCACTACTAATTGGCATTTCCTTTTAGCTTTTTTATTATTAAATGCCAACATCTAATTTTAGTGTAGTCAATTTTTTTGTTTTGTTTTTGTTTGTATTTTTTTTTATATACTTATATATACAGAGTATATACATATATATATATATATACTATTATTATACTCATATAATACATTTTTATTTTTTTTTCCTATTGCATTTTGTTTCTTTAATACATTCACAACCATAACTTCTTAGTGGTTAATCTCTGGTTTTTGTATTAATTGTTTTGCATTACGCAAGGATGGGGAACCTGATTCAGCTGAACCAATTGTGGTAAGTAGGGTGAATAGGTTTAATTTAACCTGTATGGTGTATATTTATATAGAAGTACCTATAATTAGTTCTTAAATGTATCTACGATTATGCAGATAATTTCATGGCTGAATCAAATGTCTACAATTTTTTACCGTATTATTTATAGATGCATTGCAAATTATTAGGCGTGTCATTAATTAAGTGGGCATGGTTTTACGTCATGACATTAGTATTTTAACCTTTAACAGTCTAGTTTTTATGCTCAATTTTAATTTTTAAACTTTTTAATGTGGTAAAATGTTCCCTGATTGAACATATGCATAATACTATAACATTATTCAGTGCCTACTTTATGTGAAACTATTTGAGAGAAAAATTAACTCTATATGATAAGGAGTGGTAGGGACAAAGTATGCAATAAATAGAACCGAGACTGGAACACGTGTTGTAAGTCCTAAAAATAAATCATTACAGTTTGACTATAGAAACACATTAGTCATACAGTTTTCTTCACAATATAAGAATATATTTTTTTGGGCAGATAAATGTTTTTACATTTTGTTATTAACAAAAATAACATGATACTTTCAACTAATAACAGTGTTAATAAACAAATGTTTGAATTTATTATAGGTAATTTGTAACGTTGAAATAAATATTATTAACTTTAAAATATAATTATAGCGATATATGAAAATTATAGGGTGCCACAATAAAAACCGACGAAGAAAATGGAAAAATAATTATAGCAAGAGTTATGCATGGTGGTGCTGCTGACCGTTCTGGTTTGATAAATGTAGGTGATGAAGTTTGTGAAGTTAATGGAATTAATGTTGAAGGAAAGTCTCCAGCGGATGTACTGCAAATATTGGTATGCCAAAATATTATTAAAAATCTTTATTGAACATTTTTTTTTTTTTAAATTTTGTTTTTTAAATTATAGCAACATTCTGAAGGGACAATAACCTTCAAGTTAATTCCAGCAGATCCAAAAGGTGGAGCACGAGAAAGCAAAATGAAAGTTAGAGCCCATTTTGATTTTAATACAGATGTTGATCCTTACATTCCATGCAAAGAAGCCGGTTTAAGTTTTAATAAAAGAGAAATACTACACATTGTCAGTCAAGATGACCCATATTGGTAATTTCAATAAATCATAAAAACAAAAAGACTTTATAAAAATTAAAAAAATAGATACTGTCAGTTTCATAGAAATTAATATCTTAAAATTTCTAGGTGGCAAGCTAGAAAAGAAGGTGATCGAAATATGAGAGCTGGACTTATACCAAGTAAAGCTTTACAAGAACGTAAAATAATTCATGAAAGATTATCAATGTCAGATCATAAAAAAAAATGTAAGTTAAAATACATAATTAAAATAATTTGTTAACAACTTCTAGTAACAAAATGAATAATTAATTCTATATTTACATAATGCAAATTAAAATAAGTTTAAATATTTAAAATTTTTGGTAATTACTATTTGTAAACTATTGTGTTATGCATCATTAAATTTGAATATGAAAAAATTTGCTAACCTAATATATTTTTATATTATTTGAATTTGTATTCTTTTTAAATATTAGTTAAAGAAATAGAAATGAGCAAATAAACTTAAATATTTTGAATTAATATTAATACCTAATATATATAAATATATTATGTATTTAAAATAGTAGTTTCTTTTTTCTTTTTAATATTCACAAATAAACAAATCAGTTGAATTTTGTATAGTACAAATTTTTTTTTTCCATCAATAACTTTAATGTTTATATTTTTTGTTTGTATTATTTTATATTTGTTTTATTAACATGTTTGTGTATAACAGTGTTTTGTGATTTAACACATGACTATATTTGCGGATTACAGGGGTCATGGATACCATTAATGGGGGTTGTATTGGTGGGGGCAGCATGACATGTTTTCCGGACCGTTCAATAGCCAAAGACCCATTATGTGGGTCATTGGCTGCTCTGAACGATCTCAGTGAAGACATGGCATCCGAATGTTCGGTACGCACACGTGTTAAAAAGGTTATCTATGACATAGCTGAAAGTGATGACTATGACAGAGAAGATATAGCTACATATGAAGAAGTGGTTAAATTGTATCCAAGACCTGAGCTTCCTCGACCCATTGTTTTAATTGGTCCACCTGGTGTTGGTAGAAATGAGCTGAAAAGACGTATTATGGAAATAAATCCTGACAAATATCATACTCCTGTACCACGTGAGTAAAAAAAAGAATAATTATTTTTAAAACCATTTTTCATCATTATTTGTGAAAAGAAAACCATTATTTTTCTTTAACAAATAATAAAGTTTTTATATTTTTATAATATTCTCAAATAATTAATTTAGAAAAATGTATACTAAATTAAGTACACCATTTATTATCAAGGTTTTGTGTAATTATTGGATGAAATCCAGAATTTTTGTTTGTCTGAGTATATATAATTATAATTTTTGTCAAGAGGGCTCTAGAAGAAAATTAATCACATTTGAGAGGAATCTGGTCAACTAATCCTTAATCATCCATAAAACTACAACCTTACTCTTTATGTGTTTAAATAACTATATGACTTTATGAAAAGGGTATTATATATATAAATATGTTTTATAGAATTTGAGCAATAAAAAAGTTTGTTTGTAAATATAATAAATAATTCAGTCAAATTAATAAACACAATTCAACTAAATCAAAACAATTTTAAATACTCAATAATAGTTATCAGAATTTGATTTTCTAATCAAAATGATTGCATTAAAAATTATTCATATATATAATTAATAATAACACTTAATTGCAGATACCTCAAGATCTCCTCGTATTGGAGAAGTAAATGGCAAAGAATATAATTTTGTTTCAAGAGAATTGATGGAAGAACAAATAGCTCGTGGTGAATTTTTAGAATTTGGTGAATACAAAGGAAATCTTTATGGTACATCTTTAGAAAGTGTTAAATCTATTATACGTTCTGGACTTACGTGTATCATAAATCCGCATTATCAGGTAAAATATAAATATCATATATCTTTAATAACATAAACATATTTGAAGTTTTTAAAATAACTATTACCTATGATTATTTTAGGCATTAAAAATGTTACGCACGCCTGATATAAAACCTTATATTATATATATTAAGCCACCGCCATTTGATACTTTAAAATCAACTAGAAATGCAGCATTTGCAATGTCAACATTTGATGAAACAAATTCAAGAGGTTTTACAGTAAGTAATTTGATACATTACAAAATGTCATTCAATACTTATTCAGTTATATCTCTATTTAGGACGATGAGTTTAATGAGATTTTAAGAAGTTCGAAGCGCATAGAATTCTTATATGACCATTGGTTTGATGAAACAATTGTTAATGATGATTTTAAGATGGCTCTGGAACAGTTACTAGAAATTGATCATAAATTAAAAACCGAACCCTTATGGGCACCCGCTGCTTGGTTACAGTAATTGTCTAGTAAGCCTAAAATTTCTTTTTTTATTATGTTATATTAATTATTAGGAAAAAAAAATATATTAATAAATTGTATTATAATGAATAATATTTGTTAGTAGTTATGTAATGGAACTAATCAGATATCTAACCGTTCTAAACATGTCACCAAAACAGTATTTATAAATATCTAATAGAACAACATCACTGAACATAGACTAATAATAAAATATACATACTTTTGGTAGAATTTATAATGAATCTAGTTTAATAATTTATTAACTTGAACAGGTTTAAAAAAATATAAATTTATTACTCAAAATAAAATTCAATGTACTTGCTACTTATGCTTTTAGAAAAAATTTAAAGTAATTTTTAATAATAGGCCATTTACGGTTGTGAATTTTAATTTAGATATTAACTAATTGATTTTTACTCATTTCTAGTCAATAATTCTTAAAATCCCATCTTTGTTGAGGTTTTATTAGTACCTAAGTTTTAAATTATATAGAAGTTATTATAAATTATATTTTTTGAAATTTAATCATTATTCTGTATTCATTATAATTTAGTGTAGGCATTAAGCCGATTTTCTCTAAGTATAATTTGTTTATTAATGCCAAATAGAATTTACGTTATGCGTGATTTAAAATTATTGTACACAACAAACATGAAACAAAACTATATATTGTTGTACAAATATAATTTTGACACACATATTATAAAATTATATTATTATAGAACATTATTTTATGTATGCTGTTATTATTGTTATATTTCATTTATAGATCTTACATTAACATACCAATTGAAACAAATATTTGTATTTATTTTTAAATCTTATAAAATTAAGTTTCAAAAATTTTGCCTAATGTGAAATTGAAATGTAATGATTATTTACAAACTAATTCTAATAATGAAATACATTAATATATTAGGGTAAATTTGTTGAATAATTAATAATTGTGTTGTAACTATTTTGTCTCTTTATAAAAATGTTTAATAGTTTATACGGTGGTTTTTAGAATATTGACTTGAATTTTATGTAAACTAAACATTTAATAAAATGTTAATTAAAAATCTTGTTTTGTGATGTTTTTATACTATGTACATTATATATAAGTTTTTATATCATATCGTCATTTAATTATAAAGAAATTATTGGAGTTATTCATCAATCAATCCATAATATAAACATTTATTTAATAGTTAATAGTGGCACTGCACTTTAAAAAAAAAGGCCAGATAAAATAAAAAATTTAAAAGGCCAAAATTCTTATATTTAGCCTCCAGTCTTAATAAACATTTATCATATTAGACTTAATTTCAATAGTAATAACTTATTACCATAGTATCAAAAGTACAACAAATTTCATAAAATAAACCTTTTCAATGTACCAACAAGATCCACAGCAAACAGATACATAGAACTTGAAAAATTGTGATTATTTGGTTTTTATTCAAATAAAATTTTTAAAGTAAGCATTTCATTACATATATTTTAAATTAATATATATATATATTAAATGTATACAATAATAATTTTTTAATATATTTTTAATATACAATAATATACAAAAAGTTAGTTTATATATTTTAAATCCTATTTTATACAAACAAGAATATTAGATCATTGATAAGCAATAAGTGAAACGTTAAATTGATAACTTCTTTTAACTATAAATAGTAGAGATTTCTTTATTATCTATAAGTAATAAAATTTGATCTCATATTTACACCACGGATTAGGATAAGATGGTTACAGAACAGCCTATAATCGCCTATGAGTTGTAAATGGCGACACAATTTCTTATCAGATATATATTTTATTGTATTTTATCTTCTTTCATCATAGCACTCCAAGGCGAACAATATTAAAACTGTCACAACTATAGATATAATTTTCTAAAATTGAGATATATTTCACTAAATATGAAGTGTTATTAGTCAATAAATTTAAAATAAAGTCTTGGTCACTAGAAACAAGAACCAAGAACAAACACTAGAAACTTGATAACAAGATAGTTTATTAGAATGTTACATTATAGTAATTACTTAATTGCACAGTCTTGACAGAAATTTTTTAATATTCACTGGACTTTATCACTAATTGTTGCATACAAATTCTATCTATAAATGAAAAATGTTGGGTACCATGTTATAACTTAAAGTAATATATATTAAGACTATCCTTGAGATTTATCCTTTTTTTTAAAAAAGATAAACTTAAATTTGACTATTTTATTAGCTGATAAATTAAAATAATATTAATTTTGTAAAGGCATGTAGCACATACTATAAAATAAATAACTTGTCTTTATGACACATAATGAAAAGAGATGATAACAGGATGATATATAACTTTAAAAGCAAATAAACATACTAGTTTATAGGCGTTAAATTATTTAATAGGAACTGTAAATTAAAGTTAATCTATATAATATTATAATGTTATTTGGGTAATTTGTAATTCAATTTAGATACATGAGTTTAATTGCTTGGACAGTATTTATAAAAATGTATGTAACTGGTGTTTTATGTATGATCTATTTGATTTAGGACACATAATCTACCAATAAGAAACTTTTTGACTTTTGTTTTGCCACAATACAAAAGCAACAATTTTTCCTCAACAAAGAATGGATCAAATTATTCCTTGGTAGGAATTGTTACATCTTAAGGTATATCAATGCTATCAAGCATTAATGATACAAAATATAAAATTGTAAAAAATGAATAACTCTACCAAACTCAAATATTTATTTTTAGTACAATACTTTTAAGAAACATACAGATATATTTAATAATTATAAATTGTCATTTTTCTATTTGTGAAATCTTATGATCATGCTTAAACTCAATACCTAATAAATAAAGTAGTAATATAATTGATCTAAGTATAAAATAAATTAAAATAACTTTCCGACAGTGATCATAGGATTACAATGGGATAGCAATGCACTATTCATTTTCCCATCAATTTTGGGTCTCTAACTAAATTCCTTAATAATACTACTCTTGATAATTAATTATTTACATAGGTATACTAGCCAAATTTTTTAAATTTGTCATTAAAAAAATATAAAATTATTTGAGAAATATTGAAATTAAGTGTTTAGTAAAATTGTTTATATTTAACTCTTTATATAATATAATTGATTAATTTTTATATTTACTTAAACCCTTAGTATAAATGTATAATTTTAAATGATAAAATAATTATGGAATTGTAAAATGCATATGCTCAATGATGTTTTAGTATTGTATCATTATAATAAATAAATATAAATATACAAAACTGTTATCAATACTTTTATAATTCTTGTTTAAGTCGTCTTGTATCTCCCTTGGTTGGGGCGTCATTTAAGCAAGATACGTCAGAGTTTTTCAATGCACGATCTTCACATAAATAATTTAATAAGCTGTTAGTTTGATCATTAAAATACCACTCTTCTATATCCGATTCATAGGTTTCCAACAAGTCTTCACACTAGAAATAAAAAATATATTAATATTTCAGGGTGTATAATTTTAATTTTAAATTGTACCTGTGTTTTCATATTTGTTATTTCAACTGAAGGTTTGTCCCAGAGTTCATATGGTATTCCTAGTTCAACTTTTACTCCTTTATTCCTACAATTATAAAAATATAACTGAACATAGAATCTGATTATAATAAATATTAAATTTATTGTTTTTTACACAAGGCCATGTAGTGTTTGAAAAGTTTGACTCATTCCTTTAGCAAATCTAGTACTGTCTGTTCTTTCTTTATGAATATTGTACTGCAATATCCTTTCACAAAGGCCATCTAATGATTCAACTAAACGTAATTCCCTGAAGAAATTATTAATTCAACAATATTATCTGTTAATTACAATACTATATTTTATTATTTAACTCACGATTTTTTATACTCTTTTTTCTTTTTAGGCTGATCAATAGAGTATCCAAGTTCCAGATATTCGCTTGTTTTACCAGTTTCTAGTAATCGACCTTCTAATTCTATTGCTAATATTTTACACACTAAAATAATTTACACAAATGTATATTTATACCTAAGTATTTGTTGTGTATTTAGTCTGTTCATCATTAAAAATTATTTACAAACTACAGGGTACAATACTTCATAATATTAAATTACAAACCTTCACATTTATTAGCATACTTAACTCCATCTTCTGATGTATTACTTAACGATTTAGCTATAAGTAATAATAAAATGAATGATTTCATAACCAAAATCATTTTAATTGTATGATTTAAAATTTATTAAAGTTATAAATTACATAGTTACTTAAGTATACTTATTTATTTTCAAATCGATTTTATTTGATTATATAACACCTATCACACTAAACGTAAAATTATTTATTTGGACCATGGACTGCATGGTTTTTGATGTAGGCCTTTATCAGTTTGATAACAATAATCTTCAAAGCGATAACAATTGGCCACACGATCAAATTATGGACGTTATTCGGAAATAGAATGTGATTAGCCATGAACAAGACGAGACGTGAAAAACAATATACATGTCTATATGTAAAACAAAAACTGTTATTTAATATTTATATAGTTTACTATCATAATTTAAAATATTAAACTTTGCATTTTTATTATGAATTCATGAACTACGTTTAAAATTGTCTAAATATTTTTTCTATCTTATGAATATTGAATAATTAGAATCTGTTACTGAAAATTATCGATCTCTATTTGGAATTATTAATTTACCAAATAATTTAACACGAAAAACGCAGTTCTTTTAATGTTATAAATTAAGTCCGTTTTATGATTTGTGTGTTGTGCGATTGCCACTTTAAAGATAAATCAACTATATTATATTAATTACTAACCAGTGTGTAGATCAACTAAGTGTTTGTTGACAGAATTATCTACAATCGTGACCAACAACTAGAACTGTAGGTGCTAATGATGCTGGCTGTCTTCAACACTATACTTGAAAGCTGATAATAGAATATTTTTAACAAAAATCAAGTGGACCCGTCAATCTCTTATGAAACTATAATTTGTGACTATAGAAGTTAGTGAGGAAAAACTAGATAATTTCACACAGGTTGAAATTCTATTATTTTTTTTTAATTAAAAATTTATAGATACCTATTTCAATTGAAACTGCATACCTTTATAGTTTATTTAAACTGTGTGATAAGTGATTTACCTTCTTCCTTTAATAACTTAATTTATAATTTAATATTGGAAAAGTTTGAGTTTTTAGTACATATTAAATTGTAAAGAACAAATCCATAATGAACATCTTGATGACCTGTAACCAAAACTAATTAACCAAATAATATTATTAATTCAAATTATTAGAAATGTATATTATATTAAAGGCTTATAAACATTATAAATTTATTCATTTAACAATATTAACATCAAATATAATTTTTCTTCAATAACCACTAAAAAAAAAAAAATACAAAAATAGACAATACAAATTAATATACCTGATCTTTGATTTCTAAGTCTTATATTTTATTTAACAACAATAACATCCACCTAACTTATTTGAGCATTCCCCATGTTTCAAAAAACTATAATTACTTATATAAAATTAAACATCAGAAATATAGACTCACTAGTTAGAAAATGTATGATTAAAAATATTAACAATATAAATTATAAAATAGCTTCTTAATTTCTTAGTATTGGTTAATTAACACTGTTAGCACGTCTAAAATCATCTGTTCGTTTTTTATATGTTAAAAACATAGCCCAAAAGAAGCCAACCATATTATGGAACAACACTCTTAACTAAAATGAAAATTAGTATTAGTAAAATAATATCAATGAAGAAAATATAAAATATAAAATATAAATTTACCATTGGAGGTACAAATTTTAGGTTAAAAAACTGTAGTAATGAGATAATTTGCCAATTAGCTTTTAATATTGGCCAGTAAATAGCATATATTTGTTTCATTGTGTCATCATGGGATTTTCCCTAAAATAATTCATTATTCATTTGTAGTTAATTTTTACTTACAAATTGCAACTATAAATCAAATTCTTACCTCAAATCTTGACAAAACATATAAGGAAAGAAATTGATAAAATGGAGTAAATATTAAACGTTCAATACCAAATTTAATTGAAACCATTTTTGATGAATTTTCGGGAAATGTTGTTTCTAAAGATTCATAAAAGAAATGTGGTACTGGTCCACCAAATAAAAGTCTAAAACATAAAAAATTATTCTTACTAATAATCATAGGCTTAGGATGCTGGGAGCTAAGAGGGCTATGGCCCCCAAAATCTCCTCTAGCCTTTTCAACATTTCTTACAGCTACCTGAAAATGAGCATACAGTAATAGGTTTTCTCGTAAGGTACTTTTTTTTTTTTTTTTTTTTAAAAAAAACAAATTGTAGTTAAACCCCCTTTGCCTCCTGCATCCTATGCTAATGCTAATAATACCTATAAGGATAATTTTTAATGATTGTAAATCAATAATAAAAATATAAATACCCAAATATATAATTTTGTGTTTCTTTTTTTTTATAATTACCCGAATAATCCAAAGGCCACAACACTATCTTGGTCAATCATTTTAGCTCCAGCAATATTTTGTAAAGTAATATTCCCAAGTGAGGCGATGATACAACTAAAAAATTAATTAATTTTAATATTACACTTTTTAAAAGAAATAATTCTAGTTAGAATAACCATATTACCTGGTAATTGACTTTGTATGTATAGGTTTTGAGTTTAAGCGTTCCAAATAGGTCAACACTAAACTTTGTACAAATTCGACAGGTTTTGAAAGAGCCATTTAATATATATTTTTAAGTACCTTTAAAATTTTAATGCAAACTTCGAATAAATCTTATTAAAATATAAAATTATAGTTTTATTGATGACAATTTTGTTATCTTAATGTTTATTTATATAATAAATGGGAAAAAACGATTAGATAAGTACCGTTTTATAACATTTAATATTGTGATATGTAAGTAATGAACTAAAAACAAAATAATAAATTAATACCTGATAATTTAAACGATTAGAAACAATAATGAAAAATAATGTGTACCTACTAAAATACCTAACGATTAGAATTATTCATTGGACGAAAAAGAGAAATTTCACCTATTCCACTGGCCACTTGACTCGAGCGACGAGCAGTGAGCTCTGGTCAAAGAACTTCAAACATATTATTTTCACTTTTCAATGTCAATATGACGTCACACATTTACACGTTATCGTGTCCTACCATAGTTGTAGGTACCTAATAAGGCTACCAAGGTCTTAGTTTTCTGGGTCGTAGACACAGTCGTTCACTAGTGAACGCTAGATCGAGCGAGGTGTATCTTTTTGAGAAACAAAAAACAAAATTCATTAAAATATTTCGTTGATACCTGCGAGTACTACCTACCTGTATATTATATTATTCCCAATGCTACCCGCCAAAATGATACTGTTGTTGAACAAACCATAGACCTTAACTATAGTTAGGTTTGTGGAACAAATCAAAAACATTACTTTTTATTTGGGTTATGTACCGTTGCAGCGTTTCCCTAAATATTTAGCTTAGTTCATGACTTGGTATTTACTATAGCGTCTCCGCCTTGCCATTGCTTTAGCAAACTTCATTGTTGTTTACGGTCAATGTCAAGGGGTAAATAGTTTGTTATTATTATCACATGACTGTTGGTCATAATTTTCCGGGCTCCTCGGCCAGAGTATAAGACAATTGACTAATGCTAATTGAATGTTTACAATAGTTCAAAACAGGCACGAAACCAAAATATTATTTTGAGTGAGAGAGGGGAAGTCCAAACATAAAATTTATCACAAACTTCCAATAATTTTCTAGGGAAAAAATTGAAAATATAATGGGTAAAAAATCTTAGTGTTATCTGATCTTGTGGTGAGAAGTTTAAATTTTTGAGAGTCTGGACCCCATAGACCTAGCCCTGGCTTTATGCCTGATTTAAAGTACATTAAAAATTAGTCAATATGGTCAGGATCAGGAAGTTTTCTTGTAAAAAATTTAAAAGTTTGTTTTTTGGGCACGTAAGACACTCTACGATTTTCGATTAGTTGTTGAAGGAGTTGTATTGTTGAAAATTAATTGTGACTCAAATTCGATCAGTAGCGTACGCAGGAGAGTGAGGTTAGGGGTGATAGCCCCCCATTGCCTTAATAATACAAACAAAATATAAGTAGGTAATTTAATATCAAATGCATATATTCAGCAAAGTTACCAGAAAAAACTTGAAGCATTGATTAAAAATTAACTTTTTTTTGAATCCGGCTTATAAATTATATCAATTCCTATAGTCGAGTTGGATAGAGAAGAAGATTTTACGATTCTTTTTTGCTGCGTCTCTTCCTATTGATAATTCCTGGGCTCGCCACTGAAGTCGAATGCCTCTGATCTCGTTAGATACATTTTAGAGGAATTATGGATTTGTCCACTTTTTTCTTAGGTTTGGATCCTACAAATTACTAAGAAAATATGTCTAGATATTGTTTATTCCAATTATATGTCATACTTTAGTTATTTGTATGATTTCATATTATATTTAAAACTGTGTTTTCCATATGGGCAATATAACTCAATTCCCAAATTCATTACCCACCTTGGGAAAAACCTTAATACGTCACTGACCCAGTATGTTATCGTAGACGTAGGTATATATAATATAAAGAGATGATTCAAGTAAATATACTCTATATTTCAAAAAGTATAGAACTTTTTCAAACAATTTTTTTTTTGACAATTTAAGAAACAAGTAGATCTAAAATGTCTCGTTAATCATTAGTACAATTTTGATTAACGCACATAGGTTACTTAACTATATACATAGTTGATTTATAAAATTCGATTTTATTGCAACTAAGTTAATTCAACATTTTATTTTACTACTGCAAAAATAAAACGTTTTTTTTATCTATTTAACAATTTTTTATTTAAGCAGTTTAAAATACGATAATTTTTATCTTTAAATACTAATTAATTAAAAATAACGATTTATTAAACAAATAATATTATATTATTACACTATTCCATTTATTTGTTAAGTAAAAAAAAAATCTTTAAACTTTGAAAACATGCGAAACTTTCAGCAATACAGGATTATAGTATAGGGTAGGTACGTACGTAAAATAAACTACAAGGTTAGTTGCTACGAAGGTTAATGGCTATAATATATAATTATATATACATAAATACATATATATATATATATAGGTAGGTACTTATAGTTCATATTTTGTGTTTTCGATTTATTAGTAACGTTCAAATTAAAACTTAATTTAATTAATTTGAATAAATATTATTATTAAGTACATAAAATTAAATCATTTTTTAAATCAAGTAAAAAAAATTTTGGGTAGGATAAATGTAGTTATTGAATTTATATCTTACGCAATGGTAAATCATTTCTAATGAAAAACGATTCTGAGCCAAAGTTCGGTTTTAAATTTTTGAAATGCTATAATTTTTCAACAAGGTTTGATGAAATCATATAATAATAACTATTACCTACATTATTCCTAACTTTTTTTATTTACATAATAATACCTACCAAATATAAAACAAAACCTCGACAATTTTAAATTCTAAGTCTAAAAAGGGCTAATATAAGTTTTCTGTGAACATTTCAAGTCCATACGATTATTTTTAACTGAATTACTAAAAAAAAGCTGATACTGCTGATAGGTGTCACTATTGTAGGTGGGAAGTTAACAAGGTAGGATATATCTGTAAGTAACGATAAAATATTACTAATGCTATACGGTTCTATGCGAAATTCAGTTACACATGTTTTAAAATGCCAAGATTTTTACTATTTTTGTTAAAATTTGATCTTAAAACTCTTATAAATTAAAAAATTACCTTATTATCGTTAACTTTATGTTTGACTACTTAGCGCAACTCATAATAAACGTCGTGTTAGGTTAGAGCAAGTAATTATGTTAAGTCAAACAATTCTATCCACACTAATAAATAAGAACTAAAAAAATGCTTACAAAATAGATTAAAAATATTTACCTCGTCTAAAAGAGACTATTAGAGTATTCTGTGAAAATTTCAGCTTTCTACGATAGTTTTTAACCGATTTACAACAAAAAACCAAAACCGAAAATAGTGACTTTTAATGCCGTAAACTTCCCTGTGTTTTTTACGTTTTTTTTTTTGATTTTTAGATGAAAATCTAACACCCTTACATAATATGTAAAATGTAAACAGTTGGAATAATTAAGTAATGTGCAAATAGGGATGTACACACATGTGATAAAGATATCAAACAAATAAATTAGGTAATATTTAAATCTTTGTTTAGTTTAAGACGTTTGTTTTTTTTTTGCCTTTTAAAGTTTTTTTTAACTACATATGAGTATTAAAATATAAAAAAAAATCGTTCACGATTAGTTAATACTGAATTGGTTAGAATTTTTTAGTACTTTATATTACTTACTACATACGTATACTACGCAAATAAACTAACCTAACCTTTATACAATACATAATAAATCCTAAAAGTGTATTATGTATACATATTATACTACTACACAAGTAGGTACTTAATTACTAACATTTTAAAGTACTTGTTAGTTATTGAAGATAGGTATGTATAAACATCAGCTGCGGTACCGTAGCCAAAAAGAACGTCCCCCAAAAAAATCTTTTTTTTTTGTAATGTTATAGTGAAGTTTACATAAATTCGCTATACTAATAAAATTTATTGTTAGTGATACAATTATAAATATGAAATATATTGTTACAAATTATTATAAACGAAATTGTGTTATTACCGGATTTATATTATTTGCCTTGATTAAGTACATATTTTATGTAAAAATGGGACTAGTCCATCAAACCGTAATGGAAATATCAACAATTAAAGTTAGTGTTTATTGCAGAAAGGGGAGAAGTCTAGAACAATGTCTCCTTTCTGAGCTAAATATTTTAATAAATACTGTGACAACGTGGTTTTTGTATAAAGTCACTTATAGGTTTTTGTTCAGATCTTATCATTTATAAGCCAACAGTTTTTCATCAAATTATTTTTAGTCAATTTATTTCGCTAATCAAGTTACCCAAGAAGTAGCCGTACACCTCAAAGATTCCCATAGTGAATGATTTGAAACGTATAAAGCACTACATTTCATAGGTTTCTATTTCCTGATTTCAGGAAAAAATTTACGAGTGACCAACTCGCTAGCATCTTAAATAATAAAATTTAATATTAAATAAATAACTGAATAATTACATTACTGAATTGCTTAAAATAATAAAAGATTTTTAACTTCAAAAAAAATATATATGTTTTTATTACCACCTCTGTGTTTTAAATGCATTTAAAATGGTTAAATGCAAAAAGCGGACATGTCCAACAATGTAAAATGACTGCAAATGTTCATATTAAATTTTAGAAAATATCAAGATGATTAATTTTTAAAAATGTAGATTAATAATGCGATTTATTTATTTTTATGCCTAGCTGCTTCTCAATCTTACCAACCAAAATTACCAACCACAATTAATGAACTCCCCCCCCCCGACATTTTTTCTGTCAACGGTACTGATTACGGTCTTAGATAGCTGGATTTAGGTCATTGAATAAGTCAGATTATTATATTACATTAACGGATACATAATTTAATTTTAGATATTTTGGAAATGCTACTTTTTGGTAATGTGCCAGTTAAGTAAACTCACCTAATATTGTATTGATCAAACGAATACCCACATTGAATTAATAGTGGTTAGAATAGACGATTCTCCCCAAAAATTACTAATAAACTACCAACCTTACAATATAATAATGTTTATTCTTATACTAGTTACAATACTTTTGTAACTATTGCACTTTTTATATAATTTTTGTTTTTTTCGGATCGAAATTGACAAATTAATTGTTTATATATACATTGTATATTATACAATGTTAGGAAAAAACGCATTTCTTTCATAGCAACGAAGCTTAGAACACATTCCTTTTCAAACACAAAAAGTGAGGAACGGTAAAGAATTCCTATTTATGAGGAATGTGAAAACAAATGTTTGTTTCTCTTATATTATAAAAAAAAGAATAATAATGAAACGCACGTTATTTTAGTGATCATTATTTACTATAATAAATTATCATAATGGCACAATGTTTTATTTCCATTTTTATTAACGTACAAGATACATAAATTAATTACAGGAAATTAATTTAATTTAATTTATTAGGATTGCTGTGAAAATAAATTCCAATTTTAGTGGCTTAGATTAGATTAACTCACATTACACATTTTTAAATGCTGTCATTTTCACGATTTTTGACAAAATTTGATCTTCAACGCTTATGACAAAAAACTAATGCATTAAACTCAAATTTGTTTTTACACCACTAAGTACACTTTAAAATATAACCTGTGTTAAACTTTCAAGCATTTCATATAATTTAAATAACTGATACCCACCAAATAAAAATACATATAAAACCATACTTATATTAAATACCTACCTATAAATAATCTCTAAAAATAGCTAGAATATTTTGACATTTTAAAACGTCTATAAAAGGCCAATAAAAGTATTTTATGAAAACTACAGATCTCTACAATAATTTTTAACTGAATAACAATAAAAAAAAAATGCATACACTATGCCGTATTTCCTACGTTTTTTCTCAGTTTTTCGTAACCATTAAGGAAAACTATACGGAAAATCAAACGGCTTTCTTACTCAGAAACTAGGTAACATTTTCTTTCACAAAATTTATGCTATTCTTGAAATTTGAAAAAAAAAATGTTTGATACGAAAATATAATCTTAGACACTTTAATTAATGAAATCGTTGCCCCGCAATTTGAAAAAATTGTATTTTTCGTCTTTTTGGTTTTTTCCAATTATTTTACTTAAACTCCTTTAGATATCAATGATCTTCTCTGTCAGTGGTTAGATATGAAATGGAACAAAATCGATCTCTAGTAATTTTTCGGTTGGAGGAATATTTCTGGTAGAAAATATAGTTAACAAAAATTAAGAACAGTGAAACCGGCAACGCCACGGCGCATCGTAAATATCTGCCGCCGTTTTACCTATAATTTTCTTTCAGTTTTTTACAATTATTTTGAAAACTTTTATATAATCATAAAATCATAAAATTAGTTCCCAATCCACCAAAAAGATAAAATTACCTTTCAGAAAAAATGCTACACTCTATATATTGGAGCAAGATTGCTGGTAGAAAAGTTCATAGATTAAAAAGAATACTAAAAAAAAAAACAGTAAAACCAATAGATCCTTCGCTATGGTCTGGATCTAAAACATTATACAACATAATATCAAAAAGTCATATAAAGTCAACAGAATATAAGTAAAGTAAATAAATAAACTAAACTAAATAATAATAATGATATGGTAGTAAAGGTAATATATATATATAATTATAGTCTTAATATTGTATGATGACTTCAGTACTTTACATCTATAGCCTTGTTGTTAGCAGACTTTTAGTCTGATATCACGCATTTGGTTGGGCACTTATCACAGATTATAACTGAGTATATGGAAAGAAGTAAGTACCTCTATGCAGCACACCTCAAGCAAAATGATGGCGATATCATCACTAAACGGCTAATCATTCTACCACGGGACACGTGGTCTTACTAACCAACCATAATAAATCTTATTTATCAAAATTAAATGGCCAAATTGTATTTAGGTTTATAAAAACGGTACTGGTTGAATTGCAAAAGGTTTACAACAAAAATATTCATAGAATAAACTTGATTTAAAGTTTTAAAAAAACTAATTTCCCTTCCCGCTTAAAATGTAATCATTGAAATATTAATTTTTCTATATTTTTGTTGTATTACTAATTTTGTTATTTTACGAAATAATTGTGAAAACAAACAAAATTTTACTATGCAATAGCAGCATATTTACACTTTGTGAATGCTCCATTTAGATAACGCAGACAATTTTATTAAAAACCGACAAAAGAATCCTAACACAACCGGAAACTATAATTTTTGATATCAATAAAAGTTAAGATTAATATACATATTTTTTTTTTTATACTGTGAAGACATTTGTCTAGGAATGGAGGCAAGATTAAATATTTTATAAATTATGCAATATACAATTCAAAAAAAAAAAAAAAATTACTTAAATATAACAAATTTATTGCCACATAAGGCTTCTCTAACTTTGTCTTGCCTTCCTTCCTGACATCTTTGCGTATAAACCTATATGCAAAGGAAATACTTCAGCTATTATTACGCTTTTAAATCGTTATGTGAATATAAACGATTCAGAAATTATTTAAAGTGAACGAGGCCACGATTTAACATTGTATACTAAAGTTATACATTTTATAAAGAAAAACATATACCATACATGGTGGACGGTGGCGTTAAATGGTGTTGCACACATTGTGGTGGTTATATTTCAAAAATAAATCTTAATGAATTCTACGGTTATTTTTGTAAGTTAATGTGTACATAATCACGAAGAACCAAATAATTCACCTAGGAAAATTATTTTAAATGTAGTAAAGAGAAAAACAGCAGACCATAAACAATTATTAGAAAAGAAACGCTCTAGTAGAATGCATACAATTATTAAATAATAATAATAATAATAATATATTTTATAAAATAGCTCTTACGATTTTATTAAATTCATATTATAATTTCAACATTTTACCTACAATTTTCTTGGTACACATAATATACCTACTATAAACTTAAAGGTGGCACTTCTAATTACCAAAAAGTATTCATTATTATTAAGCAAAGTGTATCGAAATAAAACAATTGTAACGAATTAACAAGTAGTATACTCGTATATATATATAATAATAATATATAGTGATATTCTTAATTTAATTCCTAGTTTTATATTGGGCCGGGCACCCCACAGTTTTAAAAGCTTTGCGCCCCGTGGAAAATGCTCCCATCGCCGTCCCCCCCCTTAACACGGCCCCGTAACTAGTATACTTGCATACACAAAAAGACGTCCTAGGATAATGGGAACGAGCGCAGCCACTGTTATAGCCTTATAGATAACCTAATGTATTTCTGTTAGCAACGATTAACCATTACTAACGAAAAAACGATTATGAGTAAAGTCCAATTAAAGCTTTGTCAACAATATAATATATATATATCATATTATGGTAAAATAATTAAATTGGCATTATATATATTATATTCAATAATATTTGTTTAATGTACCGATTTTCCTACGTTTTTCCCTGATTTTTCTCATTTGTTGGGAAAACTCTTGAAAAATCGAAAAACGACCTCCCTAAAGTACCTTCCCACATCGATTCCTTTTCAGAAAAAGTGCTATACGTAAATATCGAAGCAAGTTCTCTGGTAGAAAAGCTGTCCATAGAAAAAAAAAATATTTTTAAAATATTTTTAAAACCATAAGCTTCTTCACTCCACTCAGAATCTAAAATAATATTGGCGATTTTATGATGAAAAATATTAAAACGTAAGAAATATAAACACAAACATATTTATGTTGTCGGTTTACGATCTGTGCACGATCGCGTCACACGCGCTTTGTAATATACTAGGTACCTAGTACCTATACGCGTATGCATAATAGATATTATTATAACAGCGAGGGTGCGAAATGTTTATTAGGGTCTCGGCGCTGCGTCTCACCTGCTGCGGGAACCGTTGGACCGTAGAGCCGATCACGTTGCGGCGCGACCCCTAAAAGTTTCTCCTCTCCCCCCTCTGCCGCCCGCCCACGCAGACGTGACGTCACCGTGTGCGGTAGGGGTGGGGCAGCGGCGTGGCGCCACACGATCGACCGGCCCGACGACGGGACCCTCACCCCTACGAAAACCGGAGAGCCGTCGCGCGTTGCACGCGCACGTCCTATCGTCCCGTTCGTTGCTGTGTCTGCCAGAGCACACGGTGGAAACATTGAAAACACAAAAACAGTCGGCGAACCGCGTCCGTCCGTTGCACGCACGCGCCGCGTATAATATTACACGCGACAGTATATTATATCGGCCGGAATGAAAGATTGTCCGTGTCTAATGGATCGTTCGGGTTTTTTTTACTTCTAATAAACAGTATGACATACGTCGGTTTTAATGGTGTTATCCCGAGTGCTGTGTACCGGCCGGTGTACGCGACGACAAGACGGCAGGTAGCGGTTTAGTATAAACCTGTATAAAATACAACAAATATCATACAGTGGTGGTCGGCGTTGTTATCGTTGACGGTCGTGGTGGTGGCAGTTGTGGCGGTGGCCGGTGGCGGTGGTGGCGGCGGCGGCGGCGGCGGTATCCGTAAGGAGAGGCGAGAACCCGGGACGAGCGGATCCTATTGAAGTCTTATAGAAAAAGAAGACGCGGTATACCTAAGAGAGAAGGAGAGTGATAGAACGAGAGTTTTTTGACGGTCGGTGATAGAAAGGGGGGAGAACATACACAGATTCAACAGAAAGAGAGAGAAAGAGAAGCGTTCCCTAGTTGTATGTATGTGCTGCAGGTAGATACCTGTAACCACATACAGCTCGTACCGATGCAGTGACCGCCACAAAGATTAGTCATCAAGGTCTTTGTGCGCGGGTTGACTACGCACGGCGGCAATACCGGTTTTTGCGCGCGTGAAGGTGGCCGAGTATGTGTCGTTTTCTATAGTATACGTGAACGTGTTCACATATTATATTGTTTTCGGGCATTATTATACACCTGCAGCTGGTGCCGAGACCCAAAGATGCGTGCCAGGTAGTAGTCGGTCGCCTGTTCTCTCCCCATTACCGCGTAGTCCGCTGCGGCGTGTTGTTACACGCGAATCGTTGCAAGACGCAAGACCACTGCCAGAAGACCGTCGCGCCGTTTTCTATAAATGTTCGGTTTCGCAAGTGTTTCGTTCTTAACGTCCGTCTATAAGCGTTTCGTTTTTCCAATCTAAACTCGTGCCTAAGAAGTGCCCCGTGTACGGTATTACTGTGCGACGATGATGGACACGGTGCGGGCTGGAAGCGCCCCGAATCTAACCGCCTACATTGAAATGGATCGTATAGCCGCCGGGATATCGAAAACGGACGAGAAACTCACTCAAAGGTAAGAATGTCGTCGTTGGGCTTTCGATTTTTGCTTATGATCAAGGCGGACTCGGAATTGTGCTTACCCGCCATTTTCCCTCTTCCCTCTCAACCCCCCCCCTCCGAATAAAACGAATGGATAAATACGCCACTGAACTATTATATTATACATGACTATTGGCTATGATGACGGGGGTGCGCAATTATATCATATAGTTGCCTATGTATTTTGTTCCAGGGAAAAAGGGCTTAAGTCTCAAGTTAATTTTGTTTAAAATAGTTTTCGATACGAGCGAATTAAATGTCGAGAGTTGCTAAACGACTAAATTGCTATATGATAAATATGACGTACGGATGCCTTTTACGACCAACTAAATGCGCATCATAGTGACTTCAGATATTTTAAATTTCAGCACACTATGTGATACCTACTCATTTAGACCAACAAATAATATAAGACGAAATTATAAAAGAAATAATTCCAACTATTTACCTAATTCCTTCTTCCCTGGGACCAAATAGATATATGCATCTGGATCCGAGATACCGATAATAGTATTTTAACCATATAAGGTACCTTGGTATAAAATAAATGATTGTATTTGATCGTGAAATTGCTCACGTATTTCGTTTGTATAATATTGTGTAGGTAATGGAAAATATTTTCTATTACGTATATTGTATAATACGTAGATAGGTACTCACAACAATTTTTAAGGGGTTCCGATTTCGCATAATACATAATACGAGTATATTATAATACACACTATACAAATTTATTCGTGTTCTTCAGTTCTTCTGACCCAAACAGGGATTTCGCCGAATTAACTACCTACATAGGTAGGTATACTATATAACCACGGACCACGATACCTATAGATACCTATATGTATAGTATATAATATATGTAAGTATTAGATTTCAAATCATAAAATAGAAGTGTTTGATTGTATACCTACCATGCACCTAAATTTTCCTAAAATAATATAAACGTAATATTTATGTATTTATACGCACATTCAGCGTAAATTATTAGATATTTCACATAATTACATCTTTATTAAATTATAATATTATATAATTATACTATGTTTGTATAAATACCAAGTTCTAAGTTCAAACAAACAAGATTTTTTAAAAAAAAAAGAATTAAGTACAATCAAATAATATGCACTTACACATCAATTTAAACTATACATTTAAAACTAGAATTCATATCAAATATCCAGATGAGATTCGATTCGTTACGTCAGCGCATATTTATCGTAATTTCATCATACCGATTTAATTTTTATTGAACATACACGGAGTAATAGAATAAAATATCAAATAAAATTAATTTGTTCCTACCATATAAATATAGAGAAAAAAAAAATTAATTTAATTAGCGTAGTGCCCGATTTATAGCAATAGGGTACTATATATTAATACTATAACAACCTAGACCAGTAGGTAGGTACTGTTTATGCATCACAGGGTTAGGTTAGGTTAGTGTAACATGCTGGTTGTGAGCCGTATACACGTTTCATCATAATATATTATCTACGTTGAAAATACGTGCAACTTTCAAGTTATAAACCAAAAGTTTTATGGATACTTATGTTCTTTTCTAAAAACCATATCGTATACCTAACCTAACCTACCAAAGTTACTTTATGTCGTGTAAAATTATGCATTTGTGCGTCTGTTCAAGAACATTGTATACTAATCTACAAATTAATAAAACGTACACATTTCGATCTATTACATAACATTGTGGTTAATCGCAATCCATTATTATTAGATTATTATTTTTTACTTTTACTCGCTTTTTATTTACCAATATAGCTTTCGCAAAGATCTTCTTGGCGGTTTCTGACATACTCGTATATAATATACTGATTAAATAGGTAACGTAAGAAATTCACTATCTCAAAAAAGTATTAATTTTTTCGGAGTTAATTTTATAAAGAATTAAAGAAACAAGCAGCTCTAAAAATATTACACTACTGTTAGTTTTATCATCCTTATTTTCAGGGTTGAAACCACAATCCGATTTTGATTTTTAAGTAATACATATTTTTAAAATGTCATAGATATAATTTTTAGTTTAAATATATTTTGATGTTGACATTTTTAAATCCTATCAACTCATTGACGAAATTGTCAAATTAATTTTTTTTTTATGTAGTTTTATTTGTAAGGGAGTATAGTGGACAGTGGATCATAATTTGTGTGGGAGCGCGGCGTTTGAATACTAAACTCACTATTCCACTACTCACCCTCTAACCACAAAACATCAAACTATTTAAACTAAAATTTCTATTCATGGCTGTTTGAAAATTAAAAGTAGGTAGTGCCACTACTTACTTTTAAGTGAAATCACAGGTACCGTAGTGGTTTTACTCCCAAAATATAAGGGTGATAAAAAATAACGAGTTATTACCACGACAATATAACGTTTTAGATCTGTTTATTTTATACGTGTTCTAATAAAGAATTCCCAAAAAAAGTTAATACTTTCATAGATAATGAGTGTCTTACATAACACATGCACTATGTTGATCTACCTATATTTTTACGATAGAATAAAGAAAAAAAAATAACATCATACATCTTAATGTATTATAGTAATATTATACTCGTATATATTATGTACAATGAATGTCAAAATTAAGTTGTAATAGTTTTTTTGCGAATCGATATACCTGTATTTAATACAGTCTACGGAGTTATTTTTGGTAGCGGAAGTTTCAATAAAGGCACTCGCATTATTTATTCCGAGTTTCTAACTGACAGTTGTAAAATTTGTTTAGATATACACAAAATAATGGTAGTATCTCTATTTGAATAACGTATTTTACTATTTTAATAATAACTGTCATCAAAGTTTTCTGTTACAGCTTAATAAATCGATAAATAAGTACGAAAGGTAATATAGGAAGTTCCAAGATCGATGCCTTGGAAATTAAAAAAGTGAAAAAAATCTATATCCATGATTTTATTTTCCATTCTCTAGGATCGTTTTTTCGAATATGACAAATGGTCGTTATTACTCCTGTATTCCCGACACCTTCCCGCCTTTCTCGCAAATGAACTCTTCACATTTAAAGTTATAAAAATTGTAGAATAATGGAGACACTGCAACTTATACACAAATTGTTTACTTAAAATAGTGACCTATTCAATATAACAATATTATCAGGCTTGTTTTTAAAATTAAAATAACTTAATAATGTATAACTATATATTTTCGAGTAGGTACTGCATATAAAAATGAACATCCAAAACTATCTATTATTAAAGAATTATATTTAATTGGTTACTAATACTATTACTATATAAGATGTTCCATCATATTTTAATCGATGTAATGAAATTAAACTGTGAACTATTAGATAAATAGACTATTATTTATAGATTTTAAATCGGTTTTAGTTGTATTAAATAATTATACGTAATTTGTATCAAAACTTATAAAAGTCACAGTTATATTAATTGATAATTTATTTGTATAGATTTGATAAGTAAAGAAAAAAATCTTATCTATAATGTAGGTATTATTTTAGATTCTGCGCGTGGCGTTAAATGTATTGGTTTTACAATGATGTTTATTTTGTTTTCTGTGAACAACTTTTCTACCGGAAATTTTTTTAAATTTTCAAGTGTAACACCTTTTCTGAAAAGAATTTGACTGGGATGGTACATAAGAAGGTAATTTTTTGATTTTCCTAGAGGTTTTCATAATAAATGAGGAAAAACGGGAAAATTTACGAAATGTATTATTTCCAGATCGTAAATATTACGGTCTTTCAAACATGTATAACTGAACTCCGTTCAAAATCATTTTTTTTTTAGAAAATAATTAATCTTTGCGTACAGATATACATACAATTTCCCCTCTATCTTCCCAATGTCTCACCTACAACAGTGGCCCACCCATCTTGCGAAGTATGTCCGTTTATTTTTTTTTTCTTAATGATACTATGGTATTCCTAAACAGCATAATCTTTTAATTTCAAGAGCAATTGTCTTTATATTTCTTAGAAATTGAGTCATAAATAAGCAAATTTTAATTTATTTACAGACATTTTTTAATATTTTTTATTCCTTAATTAGTTTATAATTGTAAAAATTAACAGAAATTAAGTCAAATTAAAACACGGAAATAATAATATTGCAGTAGTCATTTGGTACACACACACAAAATCGATACCGTACGTGGAATAATTCGTCCGTTCTGCAGTGTAAAAAAAAGACTGACATAATTTGCACGATGGGTGGTCTGTTGTAGGTGAGGAGTTCAGAAGATAGGATATATAGAGGAATTTAATTTATATCTGTACGTAAATTCTCCCGTTTTTCCTAATTTTTATGAAAACCGCTAGGAAAATCAAATGATTATGTCCTATGAAAATGGTATAAATATTAATTATGAAGAGTAAATGTTTTGAGGATCAACTACGTTATATTTAAAATGTATTCTTATAAAATTTAAAAGTAAGATCTAGGAAATCTCGACTCTCTGGTGTTGACATCTTAATTATTATTTCAAATTATTTTAAGAGTTGATTACAGTTCAAATATCTATTCAATTCTTTTGTTTATGTATATTAGTTTATATTAATTATTTTGTATAATAGTTTTGAAAAAAAATTGAGACGACGCTATATTAGCATTTAGTTCTCTTAACTCTTGAGTATTATTTACTTGTTTTTCATTATACAAATATTATATATACTATACACATTATAGGCCTATATAGGTAATTTATAAGAGATAACTTTTTAATTTAAAATTGTTCAAATAAATGTTTTGTGAGTATATAAGTGTGGAGTGCAGAAAGAAGGTTTTTTTTTAAATAAAAAAAAATGGGTGGGTGTGTAACTTTTGTTAATTATATGTGCTCTCAAAATACCTTTGTGCGCCACTGCAAATTAACTTGTTTAACGTAACTTTAATTTTTGAACTAATTTACGTCGTGGACGCCAACAAGGAAGAAAGAGAGGATAACTCCTCCTAGATTTAAAAGAATTTGGAAAACGGAGAAAATTACTATTTGTGTTTGAAATGTCAAGTTTAAACTAATAATTGTTTATATTTTATTATAAATACAGTTTATAATTATTTTTAATTACAAAAAATAAATAGTAGGTAATGCTTTTGATTTCTAATAGAAATTCTTTCTTCCCTAAATTTGTGCTTATGGTTATCCATGGTTAAAACTCACCATTGATTGATTTGGTAAATTGAAAATACAATTTATAGTACAATATTATTTGCATATATGGTATGCGGATATTCAGGTATTTAATTAGTTTAATTTTTTATTCTATTTTATGCTGCTATAGTCGTCTATTTGAATGAAATTAATAAGCAAGTATTATGATATTTGATATTATATTTTATTGTTAAAATATATATTGTCGAATGATTAAATCGTGAATATATTTATTTATTTTAAAAAAATTTTTTATAATATTAATAATAATAATATAATCATTATCAGTTTAAGTATTTTGACAAAACTATTTATTATTATTTATTATTATTATTATAATTATACGTCGTGTTGTACAAAAAACGAGGTTAACATTTTAGGACAAGTAGGTACCTATTGTATTATGATATCGAATGTTTATGTGCTTAGGTATAGTTTTTAAGGAAAAAAAAATCAAATCATAAATCAAACGATCGACAATGTTTGTATCATACACACACTATATGCATTAAATACATAGTGTTGTTATTATTTTTCTACCCATCTGTAATTAGTTTATTGTACATTTAGAATCCCCCTATTTTCGTGTTCGTTTAACATTTATCTTATTTATAATAATTCGGGCGCTTCGAACGTTTCGAATCTATTTAGGTTATATGATATACCTATATATTATTATTTTAACATAACACACATAGGTATTGTCGATAGTATGAATTTGAAAAAAAAAATATATAAATGTATAAAAAAAAAAACCGCTTTAAAAACGGTGCATTGTTTCAATCAATAATATTTGTTTAATTGCCACGTGTCACTACCATGCGTAGGCGTCCAATACCCAAACACCGTCGTGGTTCGTTACTTATTTCTACGCGCGTAAAAGTTATGCCACAAAGACCCGCGTACACCCTGTAGACTGTGGATCGGGGTTGGTTTTGACGGCAACCGCGTTGAAACGGCTCCTGATTTCACATATAAACTATCCCGTCGACCGTTGAATCGGCTATACCAATGATATTTTCAACAAGTAGTTCTCGAAATATGTAGAATCTATAGGTATCTCAAATGACAGTGGAAAAAGTGCACGACGGCGACATAAATATTTAAAGGATAGATTAGATTAGTTTTAAATTTTTTATTTTTATCTAGAACCCACACAGCTTTTGAGAAATAATAATATTTTTAAATGGTTATATAATAAATATTTTTCTGATGATATTGTATACATATTTTATTCTTGAGATAACAAAATATTCTGTTGTATGATTTGTAAAAATGTTTTCTAAATATTTGTATGTTTCCGAGAAAATATAAAAATTAAACGTTTTAGAAATATGAGATTAAAATGTTTGCTGAATTTTTGATTTATTTATAAATATTTTCCAAACGTGAACTATTTGGGCAAAAAATATTTCGATAGCATTTACACCATTATTTAACGATAATCGAAAATATTTTGTTCATATAATGGATATATTTTTTTGCTTAGAATATTATACTTGAAATTGTGTGTATTATAAGAAATAAACTATTAATTTATTTTAAATATTATGTTGTTGTTTTTTTTTTTTTTTTTTTGACAAACCATTTGTCAATTATTTAAAATATTCTGATTTTTTAATGTCAATTTGCTGATTTTTCATTTGATTGTACATGATTTGAGAAAATTTTGTAGTACTCAATGATTTTTCCAAAAAAAATTTATTATTTTCGCTTTTTAGAAAACACTTTTTTGGTGAATAAACTACTACGATTTTTCATGTGGAACCTTAAAAGAATTCTGACTGATGGTACTTTACTTAAAATATCTATCGACATTTTTAAAAGTTTGTATGCAAAAGTCCTACATCAAGAAAAAAACACGAATTAATAGTTTACTACTCCTATCAAAATTTTTTTAGTGGCCTATTAATGCAGATGTGAAATATGTCTGGATTTTTTAAATTATAAAACATTTAAATTTAGAATAAGGTATGACACCGATATTCAAATTTCGATATATAACTCAAATATTAACAATGATTTTTTTTTTTTTAATGTTTTAAATCTTTAATTATTGCGTAAATACATACGAATATTAGTAAACAACTTATGCATTGAATATTTAGATTTTCACATTATTTTAATGTACAATTAAATGTTTATTTTGAACAAATTTGGTAACCGACGTATTTACGAAATTTATGTTGAGGAACCATCAATTCAAAATTCGAAAATCGTGAAACAATTCAATTGGAAAAAATATCGAATACCTACTTAATGTTTGAGAATCGATTCAATGGCACCGGGTTCTTACACAACACGATAAATGTCTCTGTATATATAATATTTAATTGTAATATATGTACTCAATATCATCAAATATTATTATAATTATCTGTAAACGCATTATATGACTTTCGTCAAGTCGACTGCGTGCGCAAAGTTCGTCAAAAGTAAGAACACCCCCACGAGCAATAGTTCTGTTGCAATTCAATAGTTCAATCGTCACTATAAAGTCCAATTTTCCCCCCAACTATAATTTTATATGACAGAAATATTCTTTGCAAAACGATGAATAACCAAATACACCATTAATAATACAATAATATTATATTACCACCCACCTCTAAAAAAATTTTTTAAAATTTAATCATAAAAATGGTAGAGGTAATCTGCAGGGGTGTAAAAAGCTCAACAAATACTTTTCAGTCGCAACAACACTGTGGTTAAGTTCATATTTATATTGAAATTCAATTCAACTTTTATCACTTCAACCCGCCTACAAAAAATTCCCGAGTTTAAGCTCATTTGGTCCAGAGGGAGTCGCTAAAAATGTTTAAAAGTAACGGGTATATTATGCAATAGTCTCCATTTTGGGGAAAATTCGACAATAAGAGTAATACGAGTATTTAGGTACGACATCTCAGAGAAACTCAAGGAAAACCGTGTAGTGTAACCGCGGTAATGGTTCTTATTATCTTCGTCAATCACTGGGACATTTGCACTATAGACCAACTTGTAAGTAGGCCCGTAACCTACGACCTCCAAACGAAAATATACCGACCGCGCGCTCTCGGTTCGTGTATACCATAATATTATAATATTATTACCTGGTTATAACCATTAATTGCATACACGCGCGGTCTGCTCCGATCACGTGTGCCATTGTCGTCATCTGTTTGCCTTTGAGAATTCCGTTCCGTATACATTTTCGTGTGTATATGTACACACATGCACGTCTATATGATATTAACACACACACATAAATTATATAGTGTGTACGGTGTGACGTCGTCGCAACAGTTTTCACGCCCATAATTGCCTGCCGTTTTCGCAGTCGCGTACCGTCACTGTCTGTCTGCATTGCGCTAGGTATATATTGTTACAACAGTTAACGTTGTGGCGTTTGAGCGTTTACTCGGCCGCGGTTCGGCAGAAATAAATTCGCGTCTGCGACCACGTCCGCCGCCGACACGCACACAAGCGTAGTGAACAATATCGCGCCGACCCAGCGTCCCGTCCGCGCAACAGGATAATAATATAATAAACGATATTATTGTTGCCGAGGGTGCCCCGCGTCGACCCGCCCGCCGAAATGCTCATCAGGAAACTGTTCCTCCGCAGGCGGACCAAACAGCAACAGCAGCAGCAGCAGCAACAGCAACAGCAACAACAACAACAACAAGAAGTCAGCAGCAGCGTAACGGTCAGCGAATCGTCCAATAGCGAGTATTTTTCCAAAAGGCGAGTTTACGTTGCACGTAAGCGCGTGTGTTTTCCATCACTATATATATATATAGTATAATATACATTTTTAATTCGGTAACGCGCGATATAAATGCCGTCGTATTTTAATATACTCGAACAATATTAATTCTAATATCGATAACGCCATCCGCAGAGTATAGATAGTATAGCCGATCTAACTTGCGGGAGAGGACGCATAGGGGAAGCATAGGAATAAAAAAAAATTTTCCCCGAGTCGTCGGTATAATTTTACAGGGTTTTTGGACCGCGGCGAGTTTGGCAATCGTTTGAAAACGGACCCCCGACGAAAAATAATAATTCTTCGGAAAGCCACCGCTCTGGGGATTGAATATTTACCGAATCGTGTATTTTTGACATTGGCGCGTATTATAACATTACATGTTGTTAGTTGTTTGTATAAATTTAATTTGAATTTATGTGTTACGTTTTTCACGGAATCTAAGGGTCGTTATTTCGTATACTTAATTGTTTAATGACTATATGTATTATGTACACTAAGATTAGTTCTAAAATTTCATTTTGAATTTTATTTAGTATTTATTGACTCTAAAAACTACCTACCCAAAAGTAAAAGTTTTTAACCAAAACATACGAGTAGGTAAACAAAGTTGAAACATGATATCATACAATAAATAATTGAAAAATACATCAAATAGTATTAATTATTTTTGATATTTCTTTGGTCCCAGGGAAACAGGATATAAGTCAATTGTTGGTTTTTTTTATTTATCTTAACTACATAAGTATATACGTGTAACAATGCATTTTAAAATGCTTGTATGCAGTGTATGTGAGTGTGTTATTATATAAAAAATTGTATGTATTTTCAAAATTAAATTCGCTTGTATTGAAAACTATACAAAATTGACTTAAACTTCCCTTAATCTTCCCTGGAACGAAAGATTTACGAATACAAAAATAAAATGATTATAATTAATATTATATTGTTAAAACAGGACAATACTATTATTACCAGCGAGAGAAAGGTATTGTATTTAAACTTGATTAATAATATTGCCAATAGGTAGTAAAAAAAAAAGCTGATACTGCTGATGGGTGTGCCACTGTTGTTAGTGAGAAGTTGGGAAAATAGGATACATAAAATTATTTAATTTATATCTGTAAATAACGACAATGGTATTTATTATACGAAAGGTCATAATATTTTATTTTGATCTTAAACATAAGTTTTTATAATGAACCCCCCATTAAATGTTCAGACATGTTTGTTGGGTCAAATAGTTATACAACGTAATACCTGTCAAATAAAAATTACGCAAAAAGAAAATGTTTATAAATAGTTCAAAAAATCGCCAAATATTTTGAAAATTTTACCGTGAAAATATTTACGCCAATTTTCATTTTTCGTCTTTCGGTTTTCCCAATTATTATGAAACTGCTTGAAAAAAAAAACTTAAAATTAATTTTTTTCTTAGAAACTAAATCCAAACTTCAACAAAAAAGTTCTCTTGGTATTTTTCCATTATTACAAATTTGTGTGTTCGAAAAGTAGTTTAAAAAACACATTATATAGTAAAATCAATAGTTATTATTTTTAGGTATACTCGATAAGGTACTTATAAAATCACATAATATACTAATATTATAAGTTTTTAGTTAAATATTTTGTTATTAAAAAAAATTATCGCATGACGTATATAATGACTGATAACCATATTTTGAGATCTTTAAAAGTATATTTATGACATGACGCTTGGATAGCTGAACATGATTTATTATTAAATATATTCAATATCTATATATAATTGATTAATATTATAAGCTATTGCATTATTATTATTGCCATGTCCTCTCTAGATATTTTGCAGAAATCAGCTTTGTCAATGTCTTTTCATAACATTTTTATCGAGCATTTTGCTAGAAATAGTGAGCAATTCCGGCAGGTTGTCCATAGTGTGTTCAACACCACATTCACATAATTAGTATCGCATATTATTATCTACTCCAACCAGGGCCATAAGAAGGAAGGGAGAACAATGCTTGCGTCCCAGGCGCAATGCCTGAGAGGACGCAAAATACCCTAAAAACCTATAAATAATACGTTAAGAAGAATTACGTTAAAAGAAATATATAAACATCAAATTTGAACCTTAGGAAATCCAATAGTGAGATATGAGATAGTTAAAACATTAATTTGATTGAAGTTTAAACGTTCAGCTTTGATTTTCAAATTATAAATTAAAGTTCATAAAGAAACATTTTAAGGCTTCGCACGGGTTTGGTTGCTAAGTTTCTTGGTCTTCAATAGGTACCTTTTTTTTTTTTTCATTTTTCCGCAGCCTTGCTATATTTGTGAGTTATCTGTTAATTCTATAGCATAATATCGATAAATATTTTATTTTTTTGAAACCACGCGTGTGGATTTACCGGCAAATGTAATATTTGTATTTATTTTGTTTTATATTGTATTCATAAGTAATGGGTACCGCTATGTATTTCTCGCGTGTATTTAAATATTCGGAACTTGAAAGGGTTCAAGGGTAACTATATAATAGCAGAAGTAATCAAATGAATTCGGAATTCGTCAATAATTCAATATCCTTGAACATTTTCCGCAAATTAAAACGCACGATATTTTATATTCTAAAACATGTATTATTATCAATAATATTTGTAGTTTGTTTTTTCCTCAAGAGACCTACGTATGACTACTTTTTTTTTATAAATATATATATATAATATATATTACGGATTAACTATGCTCAAAAAAACAGAAAAAACTCTTAAGCCTCGCATACTTAGTAGAGTATTCGAATTTTTAAAATTATACATTTCTAAAGTTTACAAATGTTTATGTTTCAACTCGCTTTTTTGTGATTTTGTAAATCCGGACTAGTCGCAGTGGCGCCGCCGAACTTTATGTTAAGGTCGGGCCTTGGCCCGACATTTTTAAAAATTAACCAAAGGGCCGCTTTATTTTCGTACAATGTTTGGTCGCCCCAAACCCAATGAATACATCATTACAGAAATAAAAACTTACATTAACCATAATTTCGGGCATAAAATATAGGCTGTGTTTAGTTATTGCAGGGGCCTCTCGGAACGAATTTCGCCCGGCTACATATTTAGGACTTGGCGCCAATGGTCTGGTCGCCGGTCTAAAAATAATATACGGACAGCGTTGGCGGCCGTAAAAGTAATTATAATCGCCTAATCGTAACGAAAACAATATCAATATTGTTCGTTGTGAATAAATTATTTTCGATAATATCACGGCTAAATACGATTCCGGCGGCGACCGTACGCGCGCGCGCTCACCGTGTGCGGCGACCGGCTTTACCGCTTTACATTTGCGTACTACGGCACTCGCGAGCGTGCCACGCACGCTGTCGCCAAAAGCGTTTGGATACCTCTACGCAACTTTGTACGGGCGCGCGGGTGGTACGTTATGGGTTTTCAATAACGAGAAAAAAAAATTTAAAAAAACCGTTCGCGGCGTCGTCGTCGGTCGTTTCCCGTATTTTCCGTGTACCCATAGCGAGGAATTAATGCGAAACAATAACAAAACAACACGGGAAAAAAAAAAAAAAAAAAAAACTATACACAAATAATACCTATTATAATTTATTATTATCGTATTATAAAAATACATAGTTACAAATTAATACAATATTCACAACAATTATAATCGATGAAGATACGAGTAATACGAGTAGGCTACTGCGACGGCTACGTGCCAAAACCTATCTCGTAACTCAATTTTTACAATTCGTTCAGGAGATAAAAAAAAAAGAAGTTTGTTTAGTTCGATATTATTAAATATCAGAATGTTACTTATAAATAATTTAAAATATATATATATATTGTGGTTAATGTTGTGAAATCGGTTAATGTCGTTATAATTATACTTTAACCTATTTTGTGCTGGCCGTTTTAATATTGGAGTGTATCAGCCTATTGACTAACTTAAGGGTAAGCATATTGTTTGTGTTTGTACCAAGGTTTTTTCACAATATTTTAATTTCTAATCCAGATTCGACAATTTTTAAATTGTAATATTTCATATATTTTTAACTCGCTTGGAAATTGAAACACCAAGAAAAAACCAACGTACAAATACTGACAATATTCTTACCTTTAATTTGATAATAGACTCATATACTGTAGTATTAAAACTAGTAGCACAAAATCGTTTACTATTTTATATACAAAAAGTATAAATATAACAACATTAACTGTAACATATACACATCATTATTTTTACAGTGCGTATATATAAACAACCAAAATCATGGAAAAAAACAAAATTTAAAACATTTTACGTTGTGAAGTTTTGACACGGAACTGTCACTATAATCAAAAATTACATTTTTTCAGAAAACTAGAAAAAAATTTCCTTATACAATAGAAAATCCAAAATTCGATTTTCTAATGTATATTAGGCTAAGAAATTAAATATAATATTTTAGTCATTATCTATGTTATTTTTTTTTGTGGTTTAAGTTTGAAACATATGATTTTTAAATAAGGTACAGTACATCTGAGTTTTGATATTAGTTGAAATGGATTATGTGTTAAATTTAAATCGAGTCTTGTGCATTTTGAAACGAATCATTGAAAAACTGATTACAGAATGGGATTCGCATTCAAAAATTGCCAACTAATTTTCTCATTTAATAGAACATATTAGTTTTGTTCTAGCTCTTCTATAAACAGCCAATGTTAAGTTCAGGTATATTTTAAATAGAGCCCTCTCTCCCCCGAAAATGTTGCTTTTTAATAAAATATGGAGGTTAAATAATACTTTGAAGGACAATTTTTCAATAATATGATTTACAATCAATTATTTATCAGTAAAATTTAAACAAATGACATAAATTTAAAATTATTGTGTAATATCATCATATTTTGAATACAATAATATCAAATACCTCAATTATAAATTACTGCTAACAAAGTATGAATCTTATGGATCTTACTTATTTTAACTCAACTACTATGTAGTAGGGCAAATAATAGTGAAAATATGAATATAGAATCTAAAAGTAAATCATTTTCAATCAAACGTGGTTATATCGAATCAGGGGCGTATTTATGGGGGAAGAAGACTGCATGTTTTCATCACTAAAAATATCTTCAAAATAGTGGTTTTAAATAAAAGCACTATAGGTTCTATAGTCTTAGAATATTAAAAAAAAATCTGTACAACGGTATCTCTATACAACTGTCCAAACTGAGTTCGAATATAAACAATTGGTGTCATCTCGATATTTGATAATAGGCCGTGATAAACCTAACAGATATGTTGACTGACGAAGAAAGTTTTATAATATTGTCCTTCATTTATAATTGTATAATTTTTAGACTTTCGATTAACAAATAAATAGATGGTACCTACATATTATCGTAGCGTTTTATATTATTTTATTTTAAAGCTGATAGTCGCGAAAATCGAAAAATTGACCACGGATAGTAATTTTTAATCCTTTATCTGTGGGGGCGTATGAACAAAAAGTAAGTAGGTACTTATATAAAACGTTTTTCGATATTTCGACATTTTTTTTCCCCAAGACCCAATAATTACCAGGATCCACTTAATTAATGTCATTCAAGACTACAATAAGATGAAAAGCTATAAACTGAGACAAATTACTAAATTGATCGTCCTCCTACCCCCTTGAATAAAATGACGCGATCACTAAAAATAGAATTAAAATCGTGATTAAACAAGTGATACGGGGACATAATATAATAATTATATAGCTACATTTCTCGAAATACCAACTATGAGTAAGACCATCGATTTTATAATAATATATATAATCTGGTAGGCTACATAAATATAACCTTTACATAAGGCAGCAACTACCAGGGTTCTGATGGAACATTTTGGTTAGGTTCTTTTTTTCCCTTATTGAATTCAAAACATTTTTAGGTATCTGTAGTTTATTATCGTGATTAAAATCACGCCGATGTAAATATTTATATACTAAATGTATTCAATATTATTTCTGAATTTGAATAAATAAAATAAAACTGTAGTATATAATTATTATAATATAATTGTGCTTGGTTGTTGGTTGAAATTTTAAATCATAAACCTATAATGGATGTAACTAGGACGTATCTTTGGGGGATGAGTGGAAGGCGATATCAGTAATTATTAAAAATATCAAGGAAAAATCGTAACTAATAAATACCAACTACTCATATATCACATGATACACAATTTGATTAACATATAGCGAACAAATGTTGATAATTTGGCATGTTTCACACTTGATATATTTGCATTTTAAATTGGGAATAAAAATGAGTTATTGCAAAAATATAAAAAAAAGGTCTGTATTCCAAATATTTTTTTTTGGGGGGGGGAGGTGATATGACACCCGCATCATCCTCCTTGAGTCTAATAATGACTGATAACGCTAAAAGTGATACTGATGTTTTCATTTTTTTTTTCTTTCAAAAATTAGCTAATTCTGGGCATGTACATTTGTATCGTGTACCCTACAATTTTGAAGGTAGTGGGAATTAATGTTGGACACAATTCGGTATATTATACATAATTTATTTAGTATTGATCTAAGGATTACATTAACTTACGGTGTTTTATCTATAATAGGTTTGAAATGTTACAAAATTCTGCAATGTATTGTATTTGTGTTTTGACAAAAATATATTAAATAAGTAGAATTATTGTTGAACTGTTTAAAATTTTATAAGGATTTCAAAAAAAAAGAATAGAAAGTCCGTATGACAATTAAATAGTTAAGTTCGCGATGGAATTCTATCGAACAGATTTGCATTGGGTGGGTTTACCTAACATACGCACGAGTATGTTTATCAATGAAATAGAAAACACGAGTACTTCGCGCGATCGTATACCTCGTTTTTGAAAAAAAAATTCCGAGAAAAATATTTGTAGCTGTGAATGACAGAAAACAATGAGTGGAGGATTAAAAAAACAAGAAACTTAAATCGCTCTAACAGGCAACAATTATTGTAGAGGCCATCAGAAAGTAAGACACTACAATGAGCAGGACATACCCGGGAGTAGCTGAAACCGATTACTGCGTGTAGTGCTGGAAAAGAACTTGACGGAGGAAATTCCCATTTAAGAAAGTGAGAAGATTTTACGGTTACGCTAAGGAATCCGTAAAAACAAATAAAAGATAGTATTCGGCGACGAAAGTCTACGGTTTATTGGTTTAATACGAACAAATACAGTTATACATTTATAAAATACTCATGCTAATTACAATGTATTGATATTCACGAAAATGCTTGCCCTACGTATTTGACACTATTCTCTCACGTACGTCACGTCCGTGTTCGAAGCCCGCCGCTTGGGTGAAAGGCTGCATCAGAAAATCCCGCCAACCGACGTGGTTTACAATAATTGCGCTGTTCAAAGTTTATATTACAACCATTTGCTTAATACTAATACAATATAATATATTATGTAATATTATAACTAAACGTTCTTAACAATATTATATAGTCGAGAATGATGTGTATGAACAAAGAGAAGAGGATCATATCGAGATGAACGGAAGGCTGAATGTATGCCGTTTGTAGAGGCCGGTTTTTACCCCTAAGAAGAATACCAATAAGCCATTCGATGTAAACTTAAAAAAAGCAAAACAACATTATATAGAATGATCAATCTAGCGTAGGACTCTCATTATATCGAAATATATTAATTTTTTTAGGAATTTGCTTTATAGAACATTTAAGAAATAATAAGTAGCTGTAAAATTGTGTATTTATGTTTTTTTTTTTTTTTATCACCTTTATTTTTGGGGATAAAACAATTAAGTATCTAATTTTGATTTTCAAATTGCAACCTATATTAAAAATTCCTCAAATAGATAGAGCATTAGTTAAAATACATTTTGGTGTTGAGATTTTTAATTTCGGTCAATCCATTGACAAGATAGTTCACTTTTAAATTTGGTTCGGGGGAGAGTAAAAGTGCATAGTTAAAACGTCGTGCCGCACACAAAAGATGCTCCATTACTCTCCTCCGATCCAACATTAAAAGTGGAATATCTCATTAGCGGGTTGACGTAAATCAAAAATGTCAACACTAAAATTTATTTTAACTATTACTTCGTCTATTTATGGAATTTGTAACATAGGTACAATTTGAAAATCAATAGTTGGTATAGGGGATTTACCCTCAAAATCAAGGCAGACAATAAACAACATAAATTTTAGAGCTGCTTGTTTCTTAAGTGTTCTATAAAACAAATTCCGAAAAAATTTATACTTTCCGTGATAAGGAGTTTCTCACGCTAGATTGATCACCCTGTATAATTTGAACAATTTTAATTGCGTTACAGGCTCGATAAATATATTTAGGTACGTGTTTTTTTTAACTTACCTTTATCTGATACGGGACCTGGGGTCTGGGACTCCCAAAACTCCTTACCCAACCCAGGTAATATATATGTATCAAAATAATTCGTTTAATTGTCATTTTTCAGTATAATTTACTAATCCTTATTTTGTGTAGGTATTGTACATATTTTTTTGAAACAATAATATTTGTGTACAATAAACAGTATACAGTTGTCAATATTATCGTATTTATATAGTGCCTACCATTTTAGTACCTATTGTTTAGGAGTATTGAAATTCCCGCGGTTTATTTGTACGGGTAGTCGTAAAAATATTACGCTGCCTCGGGATTTAATGAAGTCATTCACATAAATAGGTATAGGTATGGTACCTATATACAATAATAATAATAAAAAAAAGTATTCAAACCATTAGGCCGACTTTATCAGCAATAGGTACTGCATAATATTATTATTATTACCCGTGGTTATTAGTCTATTAATTATTTTTACACGTTATACCGTTTATCATTATTTGATTTAAAATAAAAACTTGTTGAAGTTGCACCGTATCTGCCTCTCGTAGTAAAGGTCGGGAAGTCTGAGACCCCAGAGGTCCTTGTACCGTGATAAAGTTAAAATGTGGAGACCGTGCCGGGAAAGTGGGGACGTACGTAAATGCGTAATTACGTCACTGATTAGGACTGGGAAATAGTAAATGTATAAGGTTGCGGAACGGGGAACGCGCGGTAGGAGGCAATTGTGTTATTTCGGTAGGTCCATATACTCGATAGTCGATAATATTATTATGAGGTCGTTCGTCGTTGGCTGCTGTCGGTCAGTATTTCGCCGTCGCGCCTGTTCGTCTACCGTTGTTATCACTGTTCTCAACACACACACACACACGTGGCCGCACGTTCTACGACGCTTCAACAACAACTCGCCCGTAACCAACGACCGCCCTTAGAAACTAGAAGTGTATAGAACGGGTTATATTATCATTATTATTATTGTTATTACTAGTACTTCCGTACGATCTCGCCCTAATCCACCGTTACGTAATGTCTGTCTGTCCGTCGTCGTTATTGACACACGCCTAGTGAACTCCACAGTCCGCTTACAGTGGACGTCAGATATTTTGGTTGGCTTCCGCCCCCCAACCCCCCCCCCCCCGTTTAGTGTTCGGTTTCACGTGTGTATCATCGGTTTGTCCGTCTTTGGAAATTATTTCATCTGTTGTGTAATGTCTTCGGTCCCGTTTAACCGCAGCTCGTTTATCGCGCGGTAAATAATGTACCCTTAAATATATCGTTCTCAATTTAAATAAAAACTTCTCGTCCTGACGACCGGTTTTTACGTCGGTTCGCGATTAAAATAGGTACCTATGGTAAGCCTCTGCACCAGCAATCGGTCAACATGCGATACTGTTTGAGCGATATGCTCGTCAAGACGATACCCGGCTTGAGGCCTAATGAGAAAAAGTGAGTTTTCAACAGTTTTGAATAGTTATTGACAAATAAAGTCGAAATTCATTAACGAATATTCTCGAGTAATTAATTATAATAGGTATCGTGTTATTATTACGTATTATATTGCACTTTTTGCTCCACGCCATGTTAAGAACTGTCGTTTATAATGACAATTGTCTGACCTATAATCACTTCTCAGTTCGTTACACACTAAATTAATGAGAAGGTTATTAAGACTGGTTAATTGTTTTTTCAAATATTATTGAATTGGGTTAGGGAAATGTTATTTTTCGAGTATTATTTACTGTAGTTATAGATAACGAAGGTAGACTGGAATTTGTACATTTTTTTTTGTTCATTATACAGGTTAACTGAAAAAAAATTAGTTGAAGTACCTATAGATTTTAGGCTTTTGAACCAAACAAATTTCAAATTATTAAAAAACATCGAGTACTCATCCAGATAAAATGTATACGTGATCAAATTCTGCATTTTTTAAATTGTTCAACCCTTTTTAACGAAATTTAGGCGATTTTATCTACTAGAAAATGTATACAAATAATGAAATGCATCTTGCACCACTAACATTTTTTTCAATTATTAACCAAAACAATTAATACATGATCAAATTTTTCATTTTCCGACTGCTTTTCTTAAACTCATAATACTTTCATAGTTTTAAATCCTGCAACAGCGTACCTGTAATAGGTACCTATCTAAGAATAACTATTGTTTAAGGGGTCAAAATAGAAATTCTAATTTTTGAACTATGTTTAAAGTGCTTTACAAATGGGAAATATTCAAAAAAATTCCAATACCCTAAAGACAGAATTCAACCAGGGCACATTTAGTTGAATTTATTACATTTCTATCCTAATATTTTGTTTCATTAATGCCATCAGACAAATGGTTTCTGTATCTACCATAAATAAAATACTATTTTTATTTTTCATAAAAATAATCTAGTTTCAGATTATAATAAACACATAAAACTTTATATAGGTAGGTACATAAATATAAGTAGTTAGGTAGACATTTTTGATGTTTATGTTGTAAAATTATGTTACCCTTAATAGTTAGACATGTGGATAATATTATTATTTTTCTTTTTTATAATTTAAATAAGTTAATTAATAATATTGTATTTATAGTTATTTATAAAAAAAAAAAAGTAATTTATATTTTTCGAAAAATACATGAAATACTTAATAATTGATAACAAATATTTTACTGATAGTAAAATTCTATATTTTAGTTAATTATTTTACCTCCTTTACAGTTTTAATGTTTGACTTGGTAAAAAAATACTAACATAACAATTAATTAATAAATTTGGTATAATAATTAAAATTATAATGTTTTATTTTTTAGTATGTTATGCATTCAAGAAGAACTCGGGAACTTAAGTGTAAAAGACAAAGAACCGGTTAAAGACAATGCTGTTTTGAACAATAAATTGGAATCTGATGTATTAAAACAAAGTGGCTGGTTCGATGGATTGCTGGGATGCCTAAAACCTATGTTAGGAGGAATTATGGGAAAAGGAAACAGTCATGATTTAAAGTCTTATCAAGGTAATAAACAATTATCATAGTTCAAATAATAATATAAATTATAAGAAGTTAAAAATATTTGAATTCATTAAATTAAGTGTTGTTATACTCTTCGGAAGATGATAATAATATATACTATTTACTTTTTATTCAATTACAGAAATATTACCTATAATTTTTAATTCATTTAAAAATTATTAAGTTCAATCTAAATATTTAGAATATATTATATTTATTGCATATAGAGTATTAATTATTAAATTATTTTTTATTTTATAAAAGTCTTATCATTTTTACCTATTTATGATCTACCTTAATATACTTATCTGACAAATTTATAAAAATATATGAATAGCTAATTAGGTATTTATTAATCAAAATTTAAAAAAAAAAAAAATGTATTCTGTAACTATTAACATTTACTCTAAGAATTATTTTTGATTTTCAATTTTTCTTGTCTTTATTAGTATAATATAATAAATAATTAATCCTTCTTTTATTTATATAGATAATTGGGACATTCCATTTGAGTCAATTAGTGATTTACAATGGTTAGGTTCAGGAGCTCAAGGTGCTGTATTCAGTGGCAAATTAAAAAACGAAATAGTTGCAGTGAAGAAGGTGCGTGAACAAAAAGAAACTGACATAAGACATTTAAGAAAACTTAATCATCCAAACATAGTACAATTTAGGTGAAAATTTTAATGAAATGTTAAATTTTATCAGATTTTTCTTAATTTATTAAATTTTTTTTTTTCAGAGGTGTATGCACTCAAGCTCCATGTTATTGCATAGTCATGGAATATTGTCCATATGGACCTCTCTATAATTTACTTAGAGATGGTGAAGAAATACCGCCTATAAGATTGGTATCTTGGGCCAAACAAATTGCATCTGGGATGCATTATTTACATGTGAACAAAATAATTCATAGAGATCTTAAAAGTCCTAAGTATGTAGAAAACATAACTTTATAGATATTTATTTATTTATTTAAAAAAAACCCCTTTATTTTTTTACTAATTTGTCATGTCTTTCAAAAGTGTCTTAATTGGGCGCCAAGAAATGGTGAAAATTAGTGATTTTGGTACAAGCCGTGAGTGGAATGAAATAAGCACCAAGATGAGTTTTGCTGGTACTGTAGCCTGGATGGCTCCAGAAATTATCAGAAATGAACCTTGTTCCGAAAAAGTAGATATTTGGTAACTAACTGATTTTAAAATAATATTATTATTTGTTTTTTTTTTTTTTTTTAATAAATTGTACAACAATATGTTTGCATATAAAATGTTTACATTATAGGTCATATGGTGTAGTTTTATGGGAACTTATGACATGTGAAACTCCATACAAAGATGTTGACTCTTCAGCTATTATATGGGGTGTAGGCAGTAATTCTTTACATTTACCGATTCCTTCATCATGTCCAGATGGTTTTCGATTGTTAATCAAACAATGCTGGGCAGCGAAACCACGTAATAGACCGTCTTTTAAACATATAATGATGCATTTAGATATTGCCAGTTCTCAAGTCCTCGCGAGTACACCAGATGAATATTTTAAAACACAGGTGCAAAGAAAATTTTAAATTGTTCAATATAAAATTATTAAGGAAAAATATATGATAATAATAGTTAAATTTTAGGCACAATGGAAAAAAGAAATTCAAATACACATGTTACAAATGCAAACGAATGGAAGTCATATTCCAAAATTTGAAGAAGATTTAATTAAAAAAAGAAAAAATGAATTGAAACATGCACAAGATATTAGAGAACATTATGAAAGAAAATTAGAGCGGGCTAATAATCTCTATATGGAATTGAGTGCTGTGTTATTACAACTAGAACAGCGAGAAAAAGATTTGATTAGGTTAGTACATTTTAATAATAATATATTTGTAGATAATTTTATTAATTATTATTCTATTAGAAGAGAAAAACAAATGTCTAAAGTCTATAAAAAACGACTTATTAGACCTTTGTTAAAAGCTCAAGACAAATTGAACAAACAAGATAAATCTGATTCTACAACTACTTCACCATCATCGCCAGAAAGACTTAGTCAAAAATATGACTCAGTAAGCATTTTTATTTTTTTTTTTTAAATAATAATATTTTTCAATGTTAATTAAATGAATTCAAAGTATACCTAATTAGTTTGGTCTTAAATTTATCCAACAGCATTTAACCAAAGCTACACTTTATGCTCAAGTAAGTAGTAATTCAAATAAACCAGAATCAATTGCTGTTGTACCAAAACAAACTCAAAGAAAACCTCGCCCTAGGAAAGCTCAAATTATATGCTCAATTGTCAAAAATAAAAAGGTTTAGATTATATATTTTATCAAGTTATTTAAATACTTAGTGTATGTATTTTGTTAACAGAGTGATACTGTAAAAGAAGCCAACTGGAAGAACTGTTATGAAACACACAAAGTACACAGTGAAACACAAACTGAAACCATTGATTCTGGACTTCACCAAGACATGCTCAATGGTAACATGTCTGATTCCACTCATTCCCAAGTAAATTTAAAAAAAAATCTTGAGAAATTTTCGTTTTATACATAATATAAAACATTTTTAGGGTGAAGATAGTTCTGGCAGTAGTGGAGTAAGACTGAGCGATGATGAACATTTAGATAGACTGGGTAGACAAGTAAATGAAATACTGAACAATAATAGACCGGCAAATATGAATGACGTGTCAGATTTTTATCAAGAAACCGAACTTAATAATTCTAATAATTTTAATCTCAAAAGAAAAAGGTAAAAAAAAAAATATTTGATTGTGCAAAAGTTAAACATTAATGTGTGTACATATTTATTATTTTGTTTTTTTTTAGTTTTAGTCGGCGACCAATTGGTCCTGGTTTACGAGTTCGTCGCTACAGAATGACACAATATTGCCAAGAACCAAATGGGAATTCGTTTTCATTAAGCTCATCTACAGAAGTAAGTGACTACCTATATGATACCATAGTGACCATTTCAATTGTATATTAAAGGGCATAACACCAGATAACTCCATTTTTCAATAAAATATTAGTTTTTATTTAAAATAAATAAATAAAATATATTAATATTATATACTTGATATTTCCCGTTATTTCAATTGAAATTATTGCTAAAATAGATTTGTTTGTTTGATTGTGGAAGCTTCAAAAACATTATTCTATTATGTGTATATATCTAGTATATTATCTAATAAGTGCATTTTTATTTTTTTCAGAAACATGATTTTTTAGAGGCAGAAAGTTCAACATCGGACTCAGACATGAAAGATATTGATTTAAAATCTGGTTTTTATAAAGTGCCTAATCAATTTCCAGTGTAATACAATGTATGAAATCTTATAATTGTGCTAAAGCTACAATTTAAATAAATTATTTTATTATCCTTTAATAATATCAGCGTGCAAACATTTATATTTTTTTTTTTCATAAACATCTCAGATTTAATTAATATGTTATTACCATCCAAAACTACACCCACTATTTTTTTTTATATATGTTTAACTTACCTAGCATTCCATAATATTGTGTTTTACTATTGTTAATATTTTCTATTATTGTAACTTTTTTTTTTATCTAATGTTTCCTATGAAATATTAAGTATATATTATTCAAAATTATGTTAATAATTAGTGTTTTGGATGTTTTTAAAGTGACAAATATTATCTGTGATTAATGATCAGGGACAAACTACTCATCAACAGCTTGAAATATTATTCCATACAATTTTTTTTTTTTTTTTAAATTTGACTTATAATAATAATTCAAACTTAACAACATTTTTTTCCCATAAGTCATATTTTCTCCATTTAACGAAAAGTGGATGCAACAAGCATAATATAGCACAGCTGGTTATATAAATAATCAAATAAATTGACGTAGTCATGTTTAATGTTGTACTGATTATGAATAGTTGCTTAACAATTTCATGAGCAATAATTATTGATCTCTTTTGCCATTTATAATATTATTGTGATGTAAACTTATTTGTAAGCATACATGTTGTGTATTGTAGACTGGCCTTACATTAAGGCAAATTATTATTTAGGAAATTATTATTATAATATGTAATTGATATTTTTAGGCTTTGTCTCATTATTTTGTACGCTGTATAGAAAAGAGAAATAATTTTTGAAAATACAAAATTTGTTTAATAGAAATGTTTGTTTTATTTTTATACTAATATATCGTAACAGCTAAGAAACCCATTTGAAATTAAGAATTTTATAATCTTTGATAAACATTGTAGAAACCTATATTAAGTTGTATAAAGTTGTTTTTTTTTTTTTTTAATAATAGATTTTATGATTTTCCATAGTGTTTTATCTAAACAAAATCGAATTTCTATCAAAAAACATTATAGTGATAAGTAATTTTTTTAATTTATGATTCTGAGCAACTGTTATGAAAAATAATGTTTTGTATTTCTATTTTGGTTTTTTCTTCTTGAAGGTATCAGGTCTTTGAAACATAAATTAATATACACTGATTCACTTAGAGCCAGGGTAAATCAAATATCCCCCATAATCTTAATTTTTAATAATAATATATGATTTTTAAGCACAAAGTTCATTCATTTGTTTAAGTGTAATGAAAGATAATATTTTTTAGAACTACGATTATTCAAGATACTTAAGAAATATTCTGTGACAATACTAACTTTGTTTTTTCAAAAAAAACCTATATGTTCTATGAAAATTTCCGATCAGATAATTTTTCTAAAAATGTTGACTTATTTTAATCAAAATTTGACCGAGAAATTTCTTAGAATTATTTTACTTTAAATACTACGGTATACAAAGGACATGATACAATACAAGAAATTATCCAATCCCATAAAAAGATATTATCCTTAGTATTTAAAGCGGATTAACTCAGAAACTTTTTGTTCAAATTTTGATTAAGTAAAATAGTCAACGTTTTCAAAAAAGAAATTATCTAATTGATAATATGCTTCAAAAAATGTAAAATTGTGTTTGAAAACTCAAAGTTGTTATCGCCACAGGATACTCCTTAAATGTTGTGAAAAATCTAAGTATGATAAAATAATGTAATTCACTGCACTTAAAAATTCGAAAAATTTGAATGTATGCATAGTTTAATCTTAGCAATGGAGTAATGGGCATGTTTAAAAAAATCCTTCTGTTATATTGTAGGTATAATAGTTGCATAAGAGCAAATAAGAGGAGAGGGAGCTAAGTCCCTCCAGTTTTCCAAATAGCCCCCCAGTTATGACGAATATAGTTAGATATATTAATATTTTATAATCATTTTTTGTATTTGTTTTTATGACTGCAATAATATAATATAATATTATATTTTCAAATTTAAGCAAATAAATTTGTTTGAGGCTATCGCCCCACCCCCAGAATTTTTACCTTAGTTGCGCATTTGAGTAGTAGTATATTTATAGTTATAAAAAAAGATTATGTAATTTATAATACTTAAAAATTATCCTTATCCCCCTATTCCCATTGATAAAATCATTTAACTGCTTAGAGCCTTTTTAGTAAAAACACTGATAAAGACCCTGATTTTAAAAATCAGCAACTTTAATTTCATCTTTAGTAAAGATTTACTATTTATAAAGACTCTAGGGCAATGTAACATAAAGGGAAATGGGAAGGCTGACTTAACAACTCGAAATGCAATTTGCTCACATTACAACAAAAACAACACAATCAAAAAATTTTTCACGATTAAAATAATTAATAAGTTTACAGTTTTACACTATTATAAAATGAGTTTAGTTTCACAAATTTTTATATATTTCATCACAAAAAAAAATATATGTATTTATTTTTTTTTATTATTATTATAAATAGTTAGGTACTTAAATAAAATTTAAATGTTGTGTACTCACCAGTCATACCTAGTAGTTAACTTCTCTGTAGGTATATTCAGACAAAACACCGCTATGGACAAACGCTTTGATGATAACAGCAGTAATAATATTCCTTCACAACGGAACTTGTTAATTTATTGTAATACTGGAGAAAACAAATTACGAACTCAGATACAACACTACGGTACTACTTAAAATATTCACGGCGGGACCTTTCAATGAAATCCAATAACATAGAGAAATCAAAAAAATCTGACAGAAGGAACAAATTATGAACTCAGACTTCGCATAAAAAACAATATAGGTAGGTAGTTAACGTGTACCTACATAGTAAAGTATTATCTATATTATACGCGGCTCGCCAGGGAATATGCCATAAACGCTCTTCCTCAACAACTAACTTGCCTAATTACTGCAATGTCCGATAACTATAGGTATTCACATAGACCGTAGACTTGGTTACCACACGTTAAAAGCAAAGTCCTCTCACTGTACAACCGTCATCGCCTTCCACGACCCTTGTTAACCTCTAAAAATATAAAACTACTTATTGAGCTAGATAGGTTTATTTATAAACTATACTAAACTCAGACAGTCAGACCCATTTGGACGTACGATATCCAACTTTGGTGGGCTGGAAAAATGTCCAATATTAATAGTATCCGAAAATATCAGTAAAAAATTATTCGTACCATATCAAAAGCTCCGTTCTACATCTAAATTCCTCCACTCGGATTTCAAAATATTAACTGTCATTGAATTAGTCAAATTACATCATTCAATTACCGAATGACTCGCCATCTCAAACCTCTTGTTATACAACTTTCTTCTAAAAATATTCCGGGCAATATTCAAAAAAAGCTAAAAATACAGTATTATTGTGATCCTCTCTTAGGAACATACCTATTAATAAAAAGAAAGTGATGTAAACACTGCCTAGGCAAATACCTCCACCGGTCTCTTAAATTTATGCCTCCAGTCTGTTGTATTGTTTTACCAATCAGGTGTATTAAGTGTATAAAGTACAATAGTTTTTTCCGTAACAGATTGCTAAAAATAAAAATGATTTAAAAAATAACATAATATAATATAATATAATAATATACGCGGACAGTCGGACACACGACACTGGTAACCAAAAAAACAGAACAAATCGTAACCGAAGCCCGGCGAATACTGATTATTGAACATGCGTAGGTACCATCCACTAGGTACTAATGACAGTGAGCAACTTTAATAAATGTCTTTTACGCAGCGATTATTATCGGCGATCTTATTGGTTAATAGTATCTACATCAAACCAATGAACGCTTCCCGATGCGAGCGTTGCGTCGCGAAAGTGCCGTACGCCTAAGATTGTAAAGGGACACGTGCTCCCCAAATCGTTTGTTTTCATTTTCATTTTTGTACTTCAAAATAGCCACCGCCACTTTATAGAATGGCGCAACAATAAAATGGCACGATGGGCAAAACGACGCGGACCCACGAATACACAGGGTCTGTCATAATACTGCAAGTATAATAAAAAAATAATAATAATAGATAATGCGGTTAATAAAACTACGATTTAATTTGAATAGGATTATATTTTTCGTTCTAATTTAATCATAATAATTATTTAACTAGTAACTATATTAATAATCCGAAATTATAGTTTTCACTTTTAAAATCATTCTACGGTCGCTTTATACCTAATACGTTGAGATAACTTCTTTACTCGGAAACCATCGTATTCCGCGTATTCGGGTACCTTTATACATATGGGTATATAGCTACGAGAAATGATACGATACATCTATAAATATTTCAAAATTGACGTATTTAAGAGAGGGTTAGAGGGGACGATCGCCCCGGACGGTATTTTTTTAGGGGTGGCATCAGATTTTCACATAACCCAACATTAATATAATTACAATAATATAAATTGGTCAATATTTTTTTATTTTTTTTTGTTTTCAATAATATTCTAAGATTGTAACACCTGGCACCACAGCTGTAGAATATCCATGTGTTCCTTAATTCACCTGTGATGGCATGGGCGCGCGGCGCCTATAGAACATAGTGCTTTAGCGGTGGTATAGCACCATGAAATATTAAAGGAACATCGTTTTTAGCAATGTTAATGGTAGTGTTATTATGAAACACCTGTGAAATCTATAATGAAAATAATTAAATATTATAACTATTATTGGCTACCGCCATAAAAAAAATGAGATAACAAACACACCTGGTCCACCCTTAGATCATATACTAGTATATTACGATCTAAGGGTCTACCACATATTCTCATCAACCGACTCAGAGGAACACGGCGAGTGATAAAGCCATCTTTGATGCCATCAGAGACTTTCGGATTTAAAAAGGAACAACACCGATGCCATCACAGATGAATTAAAGAACACATCATGGTAGATATATACAATAAACTGTAACCACGCTAAGACGATGACTGGCCGCGCAGGAAAGACCCGCCTATTTCAACACCGCGATCTCCTCACGTTCCATAATAAAAACAAACATTATTTACATAGCATGCGTTAATACAATTAATATTGTATGCACTGAGTACGTAAGTATACATTTTTTTATTCATTTTTTTCTTAAACTTGTTTCCCTTTATTTGGGAAACACCATGTGCATAGTATACATTCCATTATTATTATTATTTTTTTTTCAATAAACCAATAGTACTGTAGGAATTGCATTCTACTATCGTAATATTATAAATTAATCAATACACATATAAATACTAATAAAATATAATACTAAAAGACAATTTTAAAAATAATACACATTTAAAATAATATTATTTAAAGTTTAATGGTTTACTTACATGTGGGACTTTTATATAATATGTATATTAATTAAAAATTGGAAACATCGTCAGCCAAGACAACCAAGCCTTGACCTTTTTTGCATTATATTTGGGATCATTATCCTGTGTAAATACAAAATCATCTTTGATGCCCATTTTTACAGCATTGGCTACAAGATTTGTCTTCAAAATATTTAAATAAATATCTTGGTTCATAATTTCATTGATAAAATACAAATTTCCATCACCCTGAGCACTTATACATCCCCAAACCATTACAGTATCTCCTCCGTATTTCACTGTAAGCTGTAAATTCTTTGGTTCTGTATTCGCTTTTCTCCATACAAAACGTCTACCATCCGAGCCAAAAATATTAATTTTACTTTCGTCTGTAAATATAACATCGTTACAAAAGTTAATAGAGTTGTAAATAATAAGTTAATATAAGTTGTTACTTGCAAAATTAAATCTCTTTTGTTTATTTTTTTTTTTATTTATAAAATATTTTTTCGACAAGCTATCCATCCATGGTAATCATTATTTTTTAAACGATTTCTTATTGTACTTACATAGACACGTACTCCAGAAAAATTCGCAAAATCTTGTGCTATTTTAGGAGCATTATTTTTTGGATTCAGCTTGACATTGTATAACTCATACATTTATTATGGTTAGAAAGTTTTTTGGGCGACCAGGTCGTTGCTTATTTTCGTGACTTTTCCATTCACTGTATCGATCTATCATGTCTTTCACAGTACTATGAGCTCTGTTGACAATTTTTGATATTTGACGTAATGATTGACATTGATTATGTAACCGCAAAATCAGTTCACGTTCAGTTTTATTTGTCCGGCTTTTTTTTCGACTCATCTTCTGATAGATGAGTATAGATGGTATTCCGACAATATTTCGAATCAAACTGAATTGGGATAATCTTTTAATGTGATTTTTTGTTTATCTTGTCTTTTTCTAATAACACTATTATGAGTAAACAGGCCATTCCGTAACTAATATAGAAGTGTACGAATATTTATTGTTGCTATTTTATATGTTTTTTTTTTTTTGAATATAATTAAAAATCGTAAAAGACTAATATGTGTTAATTTATTGAGAAAAATAGAATATTTTGGAAAAAAATGTATATTTATTTAAAAATTTAAGGTGTACGAATACTTTTTATATTCACTGTAGGTAATACATCATAGGTACATGATATTGAAGATATGGTATACATACACATATAATTTTATTTGTACAATCATTTAATAACACAATGTCTGGACACCTAATATTTAATTATTAGGCTATGATTTAACTTTCATTTATAGACAACGCATATTGAAAAACAATTTAGACTTATATTAATTATTTATTTAAAATATACATTTTACTCATAAGTACATGGTGGGTCATTTAAACCTTTGAAATGTTTTTTGGTAATAATTAAAAAAAAAAAAAACAAATTATAATTTTTCGTTTATTTTAGACATGGAAATTTGTTCTGATTACTTTTTAAAAATAATATGGCGTTAATGGTCGCTTTTAGAGTGAATGGTGTAATGTGTTCGTTTTTGACAACTTTTCGAACCGTTTCCGGCTGAATAGCGGCCATTTCCTGTTATAGTATATAGTTAGTTGCATTAAGAAAAACTAATATTTTGTAAGAGTATTAGAAAGGTATTCTTAATAATTACGATACACTGTTTATTTTTCCACAATTTGACCATAATAGATATTATTCTAATGTCAGATTTTATAAAATTATAGATTATGTAAATGGCACCAAAAGTAAATACAACGGTTTTTATTAAAACATTTTAATAATATGCAACCCGGCATGATAATTGTAATCTATTTCTTATCTAACTTGATAATATTACGCTCAAGGTTCATAGACCATGATTACAATATCAATAATAAAATCACCCGGCAAGTAGTGATTACAGATATCAAAGGATTTTAAAAATTATATTACCTAACCTAGTAAAAAGTAATTGAAAACCATACAGTCGTTGTTCATTGATTTTGATATTTTGATTTTGTTTTAATATCATTTCATTTCTTTATGTTAAAATTAATTAGATATTTGTCAACAACATAATTATTAACTACACGGTTGTAAATTATTTTTTTTCATCTTAATATCTAGGAAGAGGTAATTGTAGAAAATTAATAATGTTTTCAAAGTCAATGAGAAATGTATTCAGACAAGGATTGGATTGTACAAAAGTTTTGAATGTTATATGTAAGTTTATGTTATCATGATAATTTTTACAATGCGTTTGATATTTAAGTTTATTCAATTACATTTTGTATTTTGCTCTCGCAAAAATGTTTTATTGTTTAGATATGCCTCCATATTTCATAATATTGTAATCATATAGTCAATTCATATATATTTAGGTAAACGTCATTTGTATGAGCCTGCAGCCATTGGATTGGACAAATATGAATTTTTTCGAAACAAATTGACTAATCAGTTTTCCGAGGCAGATTCTCAAACATTCCGTGAGCGTATGGATACTTTTGCAGATCCAGATTCAACTAGTTTAATTTTCACTGAAGATTTAAAGCAAATAATACACATGATAGGCAATACTGAAGCAGATTTAACACTCGTTGAAAAAATGATGAAAAAGTAAATAATACATATCTATTGTTTTTAATTACATTTTTTTATTTAAAATTTGTAAGTAATTATATTATATTATATAGGTATAACAAACAAAACAAAGGATTACGATTTGGAAATTTCACTTTTGGTCCGGTAGTTATGCGAATGTACTACCATCTTAACAAGCCTGATATTGCACTAAAAGTATGTTAAAATTGAAACCTTTATGAAGTACTTATATTGTTTTAAATTAAATTATATGATTCATTATATGTATATATTATATTATTTAGGTATATAATGACCCAGAAATGGATGGATTCTTTGATCAATTAAGCTCGTATCAAGTTCTAATGGATTTATTGTTTGTAAATGGAATGTTTGATCAAATATTAGATGTCTATAAATCAATACAAGAAAAACAGTTACAAATAGCCAAGTTTCCCAAAGGTGTAATGATGTTAGTTTTTGCTGCATGTTATAAATTGGTAAGATTTCTATTTAAACATTGGTTTTTATTTTATAGTTTATATAAATGTTGATTTATTTACCTTAATAAGAAACTTTTTGTGGCCTTTCATAAGTGTCCTTAAAATAACCTAACTAGTATTTAGGTACATTATAAGACTTTACTAATTTACCTATTTGGGCTTTATTTGACATTTTAGAATACTTCTGAAAGTTTTCAATATGCTTGTAAGTTGTGGAAAGAACAACAGGAAGCTGGTCATAATCCAATAAGAAAAACCATAACTTTTTTTGCTGCTAATGCAATCAATCAAAATAGTCCTCATATCGCTATAGAAGTAATAACATCAGTGAGGAATCAATCATATGTAACGCTTCGAAATTTAAAAGTAATGGCGTTATGTGATCTGGGTCGAATTGTTGACGCTTTGCCTCTTCTCAGAAGTATTCTGTCATCTGATATACCGATGTCTTCTGGGACAATTGTAAAACAAAATTATTGTAGAGATGTTGTAAGTTAATATGTTATATTTTGGTATAACAACACTTAAGTTTTAATAAATTATTGCTGGTGGTAAACATAACATAATATTTAATGTTAGAAAATTAATAATTTCTTTTGTTTTCAACAAGTACAAGTAATTTTAAAATAAATTCCAAATGGCTGGTCTTAAGAAGACTGTATTATCAGTTCTTATTGTACTAACAAGTAACATGTATTATCAGAATGTGTGTGTATTAACAACAATGTATTTTGTGCATTGCCATTTGGCTATAATATATTGACAAAGTATACGATTTATTGACGGAAACATTAAGTTATCAAAAATTAAATTTAAAGTTAGCAATTTTGATAAGATCTATTATAAACCTTTAGAAAGAAATTTTATTTGAATAATAGAATATTTTTACATTAAATTGATATTTTGAGATTTTATTTATAAACATTTCATTATAATTATAATTAAAAAAACAGTTTGATATTTAGTTATTAATGCATTTAATAAGAATAATAATTATTCATGTAGTTTTAAGTATTAAATACAAAATTAAAATAAAGTATATTTTTATTATTGTGAATTGCCAAACAAATTCCTTATACAATCTAAAACATGATTATAACTCAACTCGATAGAATGTGAATTATTTTTAATTAGTTAAAAAATATATATATCCCATGGTAATTTTATTAATAATTGTTATTTATTTAAAATGGTTTTTTTTTTTTTTTTTTATATATATAAATATTGTTATTAATAATGTTTGCTTTGTGTCTAATTAAAATTGGTGAAGGATTTAAAAAACACAGTAGTAAATAAAAAATTAATGTTTCACTTTCTATTATTAACAAGTTTCCAAAATTATTAAATCTTTGCAATTTTACAAGTTTTTCTCAATAGTAATATAGTAATTTGAATGTGATGATAATGTTAAAATACTTCATCTAAATAAAATTAAGTGTTTCTTTATATGATTTTAGATTAATTTAGTGCAATCTGCTGCTGAAAAACTAAATGACAAAGAAATTTTATTAGAGCTGGAAAGAATAATTAGTCAACTTGAAGAATTAAACTTAGTTACTGAGACTGTAAGTATTTTTGAAGTTTTTGACATTAATTCAGTCATTGTAATGTTTTTAATATACTCAACTAGATATTTTAAGTTTATAATTTATTTTGTATTAATATACAAATTTTACAACTTTAATTTTATATAACTTTATTATCTTTTCTAGACACTTGATAATCTTCTATGCTCACAAGTTAAATTGGTTGATAGAACAGAATTCGCTAGTAGAAATCCTATGGTAGCAGCAAGCTATCAATCTGATAGTAGACCATATAAAAAACGTGAATTCAGACGACCGGGTATTACTGATTTATTGTAATTTATATGCTGTTTGGATTTATGTAAAATAAATTATTTTTTGTAGATTAAAAGTATATTATTTATGTAATAACTGAATAGAAATAAAATATAGTTTGTTTTTTATTATTATTGTTATTTTTATTCAAATATTAACATTTTTGATGAGTTTTTTATTACATGTACAACACATTGATAATACAAATTATTTAATGTTCTTAAAAAAAATTATTATGTAATACAAATATAATGTGGACAAGGTTAACAAACATGAAAATCACTTACTCTATTACACAATTTATGTTAAATTTACTCTCTGAAAAAAAAAAAAAAAAAAATACAAATGGAATTAAACAGAAAAATACAATTTGATCGTTCAGTGGTAAGAGATACAATATTATTTTGTTGTTTATTAATTTAATAATATGAATAACACATTTTTTTGTTCTATGTTCTTAAAAATAAGTTACGAGTTGATTTAATTTGGTGGTACATCATTTTATCAATAATAAAAATGAATTAAAAAAATATAAAGTAGTAATATAAGTAGTTTTAAGTATTATGATATTATTCAACAGCATCAGTCTTGCTTACAGAATATGGTTCTGGAAGGGCAATATGGCCACTATCGAAGATGAGTACATCATCTACCGGTTTATCTCTAGAATCTGTAGGTCCAGATTCAACTTGTCTAATTGTTTTCTAAAAATTCAATTAATTATTAATGAGTAATAAATATTATTTTATACAATTATTTACCATTCCCTTGATAACTTTGCCAAATACAACGTGACGGCCATCTAACCAAGAAGTTTGTTTAGTGGTGATGAAAAACTGAGATCCATTTGTATCTTTTCCAGCGTTGGCCATAGACAACCATCCTGCCCCATAATGCTTTAACTTGAAGTTTTCATCGGCAAACTTTTCACCATAGATACTACGACCCCCAGTACCGTCACCTTTGGTGAAATCACCTCCTTGGATCATGAAATCTTTAATAACTCGATGGAATTTACTGCCTTTGTATCCTTCACCTTTGGGTTTCTTAGATAATTCAATAAAATTCTGCGCAGTTTTGGGTACGGTTTTGCCAAATACTCCAATTTCCACACGTTGAGGTTCGCTTGAGCCTACTTTAATGTCAAACCACACCTATAATAATCAAATAAATAATTAATGAAAATCATTTTATTTACATAGGCAATATTTATGCGTGGCTAATTCAACTTACAATGTCAGTGACCTTAGGTCCTTTTTTCGTATCCTCCGCGGCTTGACTGTACATTACCACGAAAATCGTGAAAATGGTTACAGGCAAAATGGCCCATTTCACAAAAGTCATGATCTTATATGTAGATATCATACAAGTTTAACAAAAAAATTAAAAATTATTTTGTAGGTAGGTAACTCAATTGAACGAATATAAAACACAAACTAAAACGCAACGTTGACGGAAATGAAGTGAAGAGTGAACGGAGAATTGGAAGACGTGTTGATGTGGTAAGAATCAAAGTAATCAATTTCGATACTAACTATCGATATATAATGTCGATAGAGAAAAAAATCGATAGTAGACGGTTTTTTAAAAAAATAATTCAAAGCAAGTAGGTTGTTCTAATAATAAAAATTAAACATTATTGTTTACTCAGACATTGAAATATACTCAATTTTAATAATTTTTTTTGTTTACCGAATAATATTTTCGTTTTTATTGCTGTTTCAATATCTTAAGAGTAAACCAATGTATCTACACGATTAACAAATGCAATAATCGATCGATTCCTTTGTTAGTATAATATATTTTTTTTTTTAGTTTTCAAATTGTGATGAATTATTATAATCGTTAGTTGTATTTTTATAATGGGTAAATATTAAATTGATTAGTAATTTCCCTTGTAATTTCAGAATATCACTGATAACATAATACTAAAAATATATATTTTTGCAACCTGTGGTTAGTTTATGAAAATTGATATGAATAATATTACTCCGCTGTCAAACTCTGTGATATCTTTCTTTTTGTCTTGTTACTTTACAGATTACATATTAAATTGTTGTAATATAGCACTTTTCATAAATGCTATTACTATAAATTATAATAAATAATAACCAAATAATGACTTAAATATCAATGAAATTAACAAGTCATAAAATATTACTGGTCGTATTACATTGTTCATCGTAAATCGCAACATTATTATTACGACTATCTATAATAGGTACCTAATTCTCATAATCGTAAATAGATGTGATTTAAAATAATTAGGTACAACGTAATTCACGAGCTAATCAATATGCGGTAATTATGGGCAGATCTATGATTATTATAAATATTACATCTTCAATAATGTTTGTTAGTACGACATAATGAATACAGATGGCAGCCACCTATATTCTGAACGCGGAGCAGATTAAAGTTCGTTGACCCGAATTTTTGACGCGTACATGGAAACGTACTCTGTCAGAACTGTATTTTGTTGGAACTGTATTATATCAGGAAAATAATTCGTCGGAAAGTATTTTGTCGGATAGTTTTTTTTCTGAAAAATAATTCGTCGGAAAATATGTTGTCGGAACCATATATTGTCAAAAAATAATTTTTACGCAACGACAATAACATTCAGTCACGAAGTGCTTATAATGAAATTATATTGAACAGTTCCGACAAAATACTATCCAATAAATTATAACCTTCGCCTATACAATATAGGAATTCGGTTGTGTTTTCCATCTACTGATGAATTAAGTAAAACAAAGCGAAAAGTAGATTTTATATTATAATTTTTAAATTAAACTTTTTTAAACTGATTAAAACAGCAAGTACCTACATTCATGTAGATAAGTAAACAAAATAATTTATAAGTTAATTTAAATAAATTAAAAACATTGTTTTGATATATTTTATTTGTTATATATCTACTATTTATATCTAATTACTATATTTATCAAAGTAATCCCAAATTTTTTGAAATTTATTGAATTCTTGAAAATTGAATTATTTTTTTAGAACATTTTTCTATTCTGAATAATATTTAACCAAAAAAAAATGTAATAAAGTCAATTTCAAGTAAACTTCATTTCGAATTCAAATATATTTTAGAAGTTTTTTCTAACTAGATAGGATATCTACCTGTAGTCTGTAAAACATGTTCAAAAGATTGATAGTTTTAGACAAACAAATTCTTTCTCGACTGCTTTCCCATAAGTGAGTATTGAGCAATTGGATGGTATCTATAGATTAGTGAAAAGTCTTGGTTATTAATATTGTCATCAATTTTTCTTTTGAATTTTATAAAATTTGGAAAACCGGAAAACCTGGTGATTTCAAATCTGGTGAATTCAACTGGAGAAGTCTAAATCTCCAACAAGCCTGACCAAGACTTTCCCTCAGTGATATTTGCTGGAGAGTAAAAATCACCCACAAGCCAATTCCTATAGTTTTCAACTTTCCTCCCTCAAATAATGTTTACCGAGGTCATTTTTCTTATCTTCGGAATTTTGGTTTGTGGTTATTGGTTCATCGGTTTTTTTGTAAAATACGCACCAGGAAAAAACCTATACTAATAAGCGTGCATTGAAGACTTGTTCCGAGTAAATACGTACAGTGGCACCAAATTCGGGGGTATAGAGTACGACCAAATTTTATTTGGTGGTTGGTGGTCAGTAAAAAATTTAACTATAAAAAACATTACTTTGATTATGAAATACGAATTATGTAATATAATTAATTTATTATATGTTATAAAATATAATAATCGGGCCTATATGTTCCAGAGTATTTTCAAACTAATTTGGCGTCAATTGCTAGATAGATATTAATGTTAGACCCGAAGGCTGATCTAGAACAAGATAAGGGGGGTGGGAGATTTTGAAAATACATATAAGGGACGCATTTATGATGAGCTCAATGATGAACCAAGTTGAGAGTACATTGATGAGTGAACAGGAGGGCGATCGCTCCTATCGCCTCCCTCCTGGATGCGCCACTGGATGTATCTATTATTATTATTATTATTTTTGATTAATATTATATTTTATCATAGGTAATGCAAAAATGTATTTCATCGTATTTATTGGATAAGAAAATATCTACACAATCTTATTTTTCTCTAAACCTGGAATATGAGGATTTAATACAAACAGGGTGATCAATCTATCATAAGACACTCATTATCTCAGAAAATAATAACTTTTTTTGAAATTTGTTTTATAGAAAATTTTAGAAACATGTTGTTCTAAAATTTAAAATTTATATTATATTTTGTCATCCTAACTTTTAGGGGTAGAAACGACTATCTACTTTTGATTTTCAAATTACAACCTATATTAAAAATGTCATGAATTGATGAAAAAGTAGTTAAAATTAATTTTGGTGTTAAAATTTATAATTTCCGTCAATCCATTAACGAGATATTCCATTTTTAAGTTTGAGTCGGGGGAGAGTAGTGCATCATTTATTTGGCAGCACGACGGCGATGACTTGGTACGCTACATACGTTATAAGAGCTCCGCCAAATTTTACATTTCTCTTGCCTAATTGTTAGTAGGTATTCTGTTATAGTAATAAATCCAGGGGTGCGGGGCTAGAGAAATAGCTAAAACTCGCCAATTTAAACGAATTTGACATTAGTACTGATATAATTATAAGCACTCAACAATGATTTTATTTTCGTCACCAATAAAATTATTTTCTATATCATGTTAAGTTGTATCTATCTAGAATAAGAGTTTATAAATACTCTGTTAAAATAATATATTCGTATAACACCAGTTTTTAGTCTGCAATATAGATGTGTGACGTCCTCTTAAATGATATACTTTATGTGCATCCGGTTTCTTCAAAATTAATCGAGATAAAGTGAGATTGACGTTTAACCTTAAAAAACAATTAATATTTGTTTTGTTACAATCATTTTAATAATATTGTAATAGAAATATTAAGAAAATGTTAAAATTTTTAGTGCTCATTGTCTACATCGCATTCATAGGAATATTAAAAGTTATTTCCAAATTTTTCGTAATATGGTTAAGTGATTTTTTAATCACTAGAGATAAATAACTCGTATAAAGTTACTATCAAAAAAAAAAAAAAGAGAGAGACGTCCTAGGATAATGGGGATGGGTACAGCCACTGTTATGGGTAATTTAATAATGTATAATGTAAAAAAACCATTTTGAGCGGAGTTCAGTTGATAGCGATGCTTTGTCAACAATATAAAATTTGTCATATTATAGTAAAATAATTAAATAGGCATTATATATTTTCTTTAATAATATTTGTTTAATGTGTCAATTTTCCGGTTTCTCCTATTTTTTCTACGTTTTTTATTAGGTTTTTACATTTGATGAAAAAATCGAAAAATAACCTCTTTAAAGTACCTCCGTATTTAAGTTTCCTTTCAGAAAAAGTGCTATTATTGTAAATCGAAGCAAAATTGCTGGTAAAAAAGTTGTCAAGAATCTAAAATATACTACAGCGATAAATGCAATGACGTAATTTGCTCAACCTATAATGTGATTGCTTATTAACAGAGATAAAAATAAACGTTGATATAAATTATATTACCTAACATATGTCTAACATATTCATAGCATAATTTTTAATCCATGGCCATGATCTAATCTAAATTTTATTATTCCGAACAAATTTATATGGGATATAATAAATTTTCAAATAATTAATAATAATTGTACTATTATGATTTCATTTGTTGTGTGAAATAGTAAATATGTGTCAAATGAAGTGTTTGTAACCATATTTGCACTGCCTAAGTACCTAATTGATTTTAACAAACATCTGACAATCATTTCCTGAAGACTTATGAAAACAAAGGCACTTGTTTTATTAGATAGATATAACATAATTTAACCTACCTATATTAAAATGTGATATAATCGGAAGAGATATCACCTACATAAATTTTAACTGTAAGTGTTACATTTACCCAACACGTAATTTAATAATGTCCAATGTAATATACTAGCAATTCGATCTGTTTAATTTAAATATAATTATTACTTATATAATAGACAGGCCCGGCGGAAGGCACAGGCAACACAGGCCTATGCCTGGGGCGGCATTTTGTAANTATTTAGGATAATATGTTGTAATAAGAACATTTATTATTTTAAAGTACTTAAATTTTAACGAAAATGTGGACTATATAAATGTACTGTGGCTTAAACCCGAAATACACGTGAATATGTTTGAAGATATGGTTAAGGGGACAAGGGGTAAATAGAGAGATCAAAAACGAAAGGGCGGCAAATTTTGATTTTGCCTATGTATACATTTTGTCTAGAGCCGGCCCTGATAATAGATACTTATTAAATATTAGTATTACTAGTATTATTTTTAGTAAATAATTTTACATACATTATATTTTTTTTCCCTGTAATAATGTCCATAAAATATGTTTATTGGTATTAAAATGAACATGCAAAAGGATAAAAGTACAGATAATAATAATTACAATGTTATAATTAGTTATTGAAAACTAAATCAATTAAACAAAAAAATATGAATGTTTAGT